CTGGGTCTTGTTGGTCCATACTTGGGCTCCATTCATGGGGAACTTCTTCTTTAATCACCAACACCTGCAGGACATCTGCAGGCAACACTGAAACACACAGATACATTACAGACAGCTATGATTTTATGTGTATTCAACCACAGCCTCAGTAGTTCTAATAACATTTCATACACCAGTAAAGAAATTGACACTTGACATTAAATCTGATTGCTCTTACCTGCATTTTGGTTGATAACGGTATCCTGCACCTGATGGGCACCAAGGCGTTCAGCATCCTGTTCTTCTTCTAGTTTACTTTGAACTGGTGAGACGTTAAGTGCCAGAGCAACAGTCCCCTCATAGCTCCTCAGATCTCCTTGTGATGTACATCTTTCCCCACAGTCAAACATTGTCTCTCCTAAATGTACTCTCCTGTGTCTTTTCAAACTTTCCTTCCGTGAAAATTTTTTCCCACACACATCACAGTTAAATGGTTTCTCTCCTGTGTGCACTCTCTGGTGTTTCTTCAGATCTCCCAGTTGTGAAAATCGTTTACTACAAACACCACAACCAAATGGTTTCTCTCCTGTATGTACTCTTGTGTGTGACTTAAGATGTGCATTTCGTTTATATCTTTGTCCGCAAACATCACAGCCAAATGGTTTCTCTCCTGTGTGTACCCTCATGTGTTTCTTGAGATTCTCTGGCTGTAAAAATCTTTTACTACAAACACCACAACCAAAAGGTTTCTCTCTTGTGTGGACTCTCATATGCTTATTAAGATGTATTTTCTGGCTAAATGTTTTACCACATACATCACAGACAAATGGTCGCTCTCCTGTGTGGACTTTTGTGTGTCTCTCCAGATCCCCTGGTTGTGAAAATCTTTTGCTACAAACACCACAACCAAATGGTTTCTCTCCTGTGTGGACTCTAGTGTGTCTATTAAGATTATACTGACTCCTAAATCTTTTTTCACAAACATTACAACCAAATGNGTGTGGACTCTAGTGTGTCTATTAAGATTATACTGACTCCTAAATCTTTTTTCACAAACATTACAACCAAATGGTTTCTCTCCTGTGTGGACTCTCATCTTTGAATGTATATTTAGCTTCACTCTAATGCATTTCTTGTTAACCAATGAGCCCGAGGAGCTTTTGCCTGAATGAAATTTCATGTGTCTTTGAAGGGACTGCTTGTAGCAAAACTGTTTGTCACACTCAGAGCAGCTAAAGGCTTTTTTGTCAGTGTCACAATCCACTTCACTATTTACACCTAACTCGGGGACCCAGGTCTCTTTCCAGCTATTGTCCCAGTCTTTGTTTTCAGGTCCAGTATCTGACAAAGGTTCCTGCCGCTCATCCACCTCCTCATAATCATCACCATCCTCATCACTGACTTCAGTCTCAGAAGACTCTGGAGTTTTTTCTTCAGCATTTGGTTCTAAATTAGTATTTGGATCTGGGTTCCTGGCTGGTTGTGGTTCTCCACAGTCCTCTTCATCAGTTTCTGTTTTCATCTGTTTCGCTGAGCTGGTGGCTGCAGGCTCTGCCTCTCTGTTGTCATCAGTTGGGCTCTGATGAAGCTGGTCATCATCATCTTCGCTCTTCACAAGAACAGTGGTGAAGGGGAACTGGGTGATATCATTCCCCTCCTGCCCATCAAGCTGCTCTCCATCCTGACTGGTCCACAGTTCCTCATGTTCCTCCTTTATGTTATCAACCTCCACTTGTTCCTCCTTTATGATATCACCCTCATCCTGTTCCTCTTTTATGTGGATGGACTCTGGGTTCTGCTGGTCCGGACTGGGGCTCCATTCATGGGGAACTTCTTCTTTAATCACTGACAGCTGCTGGACATCTGCAGGGGACACCGAAACATGTGTGTATATTATGGACAACTGTATTCACTCAAATTCTCAGCAGTTTTAACGGTTTTTAAAGTAATACTTAGGAAGTTCGTGGCCCTTTTAGCAAACTAACAAAAAGTACAAAAATAAATTGGAATGAATCAAAATCGTTAGGGGTGGAAATATTTAGCAAGTTCATGATTCAATTTAGATTTGATTCTAATGCTAAAACAAAGGAACATCGCTGTTATGCAAATTACTGTCTCGGCACAGGGCTTCAGCAACAAAATGGACCATGTAGACAAAATTACTTTCTTTGCTCCACCCAGCCTAATTGAAATTACACTGAATGCATCATAGTGTTGGTGAGCAAGTCTCAGTCTTCCACTGACTGACCGAGACTGGGAAGCAAGAAGAACAGACCGAACTAATAGCAGAGACCATGGAAGCAGCGACTGAGCTAAAGCTCTGGAGTCTGATGAATCCACAACAGTGTTGAATGTTAGTGTGCTTACACAATAGAATCCTGTGAAATGAACAAAACTTAACATCAACAGTTAATGTAAAATGTCTGCATATCAAAGTCAATATCTGAGCTGTTCCCACTTAGAGAAATATGCTGCATTTGCACAAATCATATTATTCTTACCAGCACTTTGGTTGATAACAACATCCTGCGGCTGACAGGTGCCAAAGAGTTCAGTGTCTTGTTTATCTTCTGCTTCAGATGGAACTGGTAGGATGTTAAGTGACAGCGCAACAGCCTCCACATGTCTCATTAGATTTCCTTGTGACGTAAAGCCATCACCACAATCAAACGTTGTCTCTCTTCCATGTACTCTCATGTGTCTCTTCAGACTTTCTTGTCGGGAAAATGTTTTGTCACACAAGTCACAACCAAATGGTTTCTCTCCTGTGTGGACTCTCATGTGTTTTTTCAGATCACCTGGTTGTGAAAATCTTTTACTACAAGCATTGCAACCAAATGGTTTCTCTCCAGTATGGACTCTTGTGTGTGTCTTGAGATGTGCATTTCGCTTGAATCTTTGTCCACAAACGTCACAGCTAAATGGTTTCTCTCCTGTGTGGACGATCATGTGCTTTTTCAAATCACCTGGCTGTAAAAATCTTTTAGTACAAACTCCACAACCAAATGGTTTCTCTCCTGTATGGACTCTCGTGTGTGTGTTAAGATGTGCAATTTGGCTAAATTTTTGTCCACACACATCACAGCCAAATGGTTTCTCTCTTGTGTGGACGCCCATGTGTCTCTTCAGACTTTCCTGTACTGTAAACCTTTTCCCACATTCATCACAGCCAAATGGTTTCTCTCCTGTGTGGACTCTTAGGTGTCTCTTTAGATCCCCTGTTTGTGAAAATCTTTTATTGCACACTTCACAACCAAATGGTCTCTCTCCTGTGTGGACTCTCATGTGTTTCTTAAGATGTATTCTCTGGTTGAATCTTTTCCCACAAACATCACAGCCAAATGGTTTCTCTCCTGTGTGGACTTTCGTATGTCTGTCTAGATCCCCCGATTGTGAAAATCTCTTGCCACAAACAGTACAATCAAATGGCTTCTCTCCAGCATGGATTCTCATGTGAGTCTTAAAATATACCTTCCACATAAATCTCTTACCACAAATATCACAGCCAAATGGTTTCTCTCCTGTGTGAACTCTCATGTGTCTCTTGATATGGATCTTCTGGTTGAATTTTTTACCACAAATATCACAACCAAATGGTTTTTCTCCTGTGTGGACTCTTGTGTGTCTTTTCAAATCCGCTGGTTGTGAAAATCTTTTGCTACAAACACCACAACCAAATGGTTTCTCTCCTGTGTGAACTCTTGTGTGTCTATTGAGATTATACTGATTCCTAAATCTTTTTTCACATACATCACAACCAAATGGTTTCTCTCCTTTGTGGACCCTCGCCTGTGAAGTTTCCTTCACCTCAAAACACTGGTTATTAAGTGAACAGCTGGAAGACTGGAGGATGTGTCTCCGAAGAGAACGTTTGTGGAGAAACTGTTTCCCGCAGTCAGAGCAGATAAAGGACTTTTTGTCAGCGTCACATTCCACATCACTATTTACACCCGACTCTGGAGTCCTGACCTCCTTCCAATCAGTGTCACTGTCTTCACTCTCAGGTCCGAAATCTGAAAAAGGTTCCTGCCAATCCTCATCCTCTTCTTCTTCCTCCTCCTCTACGTCATCCTCATCACTCACTTCAGCCTCAAATGAGTCTAAAGCTTTTTCCTCAGTACTTGGTTGTGAATGAGTGTTGTCCTCTCCATCAGTTTCTGCCTTCGTCCGTGTAGCTGAGCTGCTGGTTGCCTCTCTGTCGTCTTCACTTCGGCTCTCATGAAGCTGTGAGGACTGACATTTCTCTTCACCATCGCTCTTCACAGGAACAGCAGTGAATGAGACCCTGCTGATATCAGTCTCCTCCTGTCCATTAAGCTGCTCTCCCTCCTCACTGCTCCACGGTTCCTCCTCTTCCTCCTTTATGTGGAGGAGTTCTGGGTCCTGCTGGTCCAGACTGGAGCTCCATTGATGGGAAACCTCTTTTTTCTGCTGAACATCTGCAGGGAACAGACATGTGCATCAATAAAAACTGTGACTTTACATATGTTCACACATATCTTAAGCAGTTTTATTGTTATTTAAAATATTACCAAAAACGTTAGTGACTCTTTTCTAGAAAACTAACAAAAATGAGACGTGACTAAGAATGAAAATAATATCTGTACAGATGCTTCAGCCTTGGTAGTCTAGATACCCAACAGATCAATCATAAAACCTGCTGTCTTTTTATTTCCAGTTCGTTTATGTCGTTTAAGAAAGACACTGATTGATTTACAAACTGATCTCATTCTGATTTACATGAGAATTCATGTGAAATGGCATCATGAGACCTCATACATACACTGTTTTATCAGCAGCCCTTAGATCTGTTCATCAGTCGGTCTGATGATGCATTAAACCCTCGTAAAAGATATTATTGATCAAAAACGCAACCTATTTTTTTCCTCCATCCACGAGGACATCTACATCTACATCTACATCACACTACTTGGCACATTTGCAAGTTAAAGAATCTAAAAAAGTCCAGTTGTTTCTAACCTCCTCAATGTTTATTTTAAACATAACTTATTGCATGTATTTCATTCTTACTAGACTTTTTTTAAAGTCTTGTGGAAGACGCTGTAATTATTCACCACTGTGAAAATTCTGACAAGATAATCAATGCTGAAGGCCTGTTGTGTCAACTTTGTGAAACAGGATCCAATTATCACATCCGAAGCAGCATTTGTGTACGTGGAACATCAGCGCCGGTAACTTTATTATTTATGAGTAATTATAAAAGACCTCCAACATGGAGACAGGATGGACAACCGCAGGTCACACGGTTCTTTACTGTTGGTAAATGAGGTCATCACACATGGACGGAGTTTTCACTGTTTCAAAAAACACGAATAAACTTGGCTGTTAGTTATTTTGCCACTTTTTTATCAGCTTAGATTTAGTCTTTTGCTCACTTTAATCTCACGAGTGACAAATAATGTGAGCGTCCTGTGGCTCAGTTTGTTTTTGAGGAACACTCATGACAAACTGACCTACGACTGATTAATAATAATAATGAACTTTATTTTTATTGTGCCTTTCAAAACTGGATTTCCAAGGTTTCTTTTTGTATAACATTAAAATTAACAAAGCATTAGAAAACAACAGTGAACTATTAAACGTAGTCAATAAAGACAGAATGCTGCCACTTTAACAGACTGAATTTGAGGAAGCGTGCAACGACACGTTTCTTATCTCTGAAAAGGCCTGCAGAGAACATCTGGCTCAGCTCGATAGTTGCACAATTTTAAAGTCATTTCAGAGTGCAATGAATATAAAGTCCACCGTGATACTAATGCAGTCACAGTATCTCACATTTTGCAATAATTTCTCTCTGAAATAACTTAAACATTCTGAAATTTGGACTCAGAAGTGTCAGAATGTGGTGGACACCGTCTGTAACAGGCTCCTTCATCATAGTTAAAGCTGTTAAATGTGTCTGATGACATCTTTCTGACTCAGGATCAGCTCTGACACAATCTGGGCGTTTCTGCCTGCACACACAGAGGCTGCTGGAAACTGTCCAGCTGATGCAGCTTTTTTTTTTTTTTCTTGTCGGCTGCTGATCTCCAGACGAGGATCAGATCATCTCAAACATCAGCAGTTAATCCAACAGCAGCTGAGCTTCAGACACTGGCTCTGCTTCGGACTGAACATCTGATAAATGTCCAGCTTTAGCCTAGCAGCTAGCAGTTAGCAGCTTCCTCCACATTAGCTGTGATTCTTCTTACCGGCGGTTTGCTTCAGAACAACGTCCTGCGGCTCATGGAGGCGTTTCATCCGCACTTTGTCCTCCAGACGCACACTTTGAGTCCGCTGCTGCTGATCATATCCGCTCATGGTGTCCGCAGCGCGTCTCTTGTTAACAACTAACCGGAGGCTCGTTGGGGGCAAACCGCGCCTGCGCAGAATCGAGCGGATCGATCCACAGCCGATCGCCGCTTCGATTGGTGCCAGTTGATCAATTGATGCATTCCAGGGCCCGATAGAAACCTCTCCGTTTTCCTAGAAGATTGATCGACGTGTCATGCGGGTTTTAAACAGGCATCTGCATGGACCCCTTTATTCTCCGTCACCATAGAAACCACAGCGTCAAAGTTTATTTCCTTCTTTGATAATTTCAGAAAGAAATAATCTCTTCTAATCGGATTTCCAGTTTTTAATTACTATTTTTTAATGTTATTTTATTTGATGATAGTTTGAACAATTTCAAATGTTTAAATAAATAAATAAATAAATAAAAACAAAGCTCATGCACGTTTTTGTAGAGTCAAAACTTTAAATTAGTCAGGTTAATCTTCATAATTTAAATTGCTGTAGCCTTAATATTTACATGAGTTAGGTTAAGTTCTGATACATGTATAGTACTGTAGTGTCTAAGTCATATTATTACAGTAGTTAGATTATTTTACTAACTATTAACACCATAAGCTTTCAGCCTCACTGTGTTATATTTCGGTAAAGTAGGGTTCTTTATAATTTTTTGGTGGATTTAAAATGCTAATATGTAAATTACTCATGTATTATCACACCCTCCACAACCCTAATATTTAAAGTTGGTACATTAATTTAAGCACAACCTCTTCTGCTAGAAAGCATTTTGGCACAATGGCTGTTTTAAAAACAAATAATATATATACATATATTTATTTATTTTTAAAAAAGGTGCCCTATCAGAACAATCACTTGGCTTAACTTCACTGATTCCTTTCTATGAAACGTGCTTTTCTTCTAAAATGTAATATACAAATAAGGCCATGAGTGTTTTTGTGAAGTGAAGCAGCAACATGAACCCTCGTGGACATCAACACATAAATATTTATTCACAAATAAAGGATATGATTACACATTATTGCTATCCAGCTAAACATTCATGTGAACTGGTGTGTTTGTGAAGCTCAGTTTGATTTGGATTTATTCAAAGTCTCGCCACTGACCAACTTGGTAACGTCCTTCAGGACTTTTATTTTGGGGCAAACAAGACATGAGGCCTGAACCATGAAGCAAGTCCTTAAAACCTCTCGATGTGTTCACACGCCAACAAAATTAGGCAAAATCATTCTGGTGTTGTTCTTCCACGGATCCAAAGAAAAGTAAATCTTCTGGAGCTCTCCAGTTGCTGTACATCAGATTGAACCAACCACGTTTCGTGGAGTTTCTCACCTAATCAAGTGAATCAAACAAATAAAAGTCCAAGAAATGATTCGGATTAACATTTAATCATGAAAAGGTCGTGTACAGACCACAGAGTGTCCATTCAGACATGGGGAGGGCGGCACAAGAGGAAAATACAGCACACAGCTAAACCACAGTCTTTAAAAAATAAAATCAGTGCACAGATAAACTTACAAAGATTGCATAATATAAAGAAAGGTTAGAAAATTTCCCAGAAATAGTGCAACTTTACCACCACCAGGAAAAAGAAAACAAAACCTGCTCCACTGCCAACTTGTCTAAATGCTCCTTTTCCACAGAGCCGAAGAATATTTTCGTATTCTTTAACGTGAAACACTTTAAACTGAACGTGATGTTTTCTGTGGTGGAAGCAGGGGTTAGAGACGTGCAAAAGAAGCAGATGTTGTCTGGATGGCTACATGTTACTGAAACCGACAGAACACACGTTTAAAGAAAGCCAACACTTGTTTGCTTTTGCAAGCAAACATCCGACATTGCACTTGGGAAAATGAACATAAAAGAAATCTAGTGTATAAGCGACACGCCCATCGATACCCACCGCACATGTTCAACTTAAAGCAGAGCCAGTGTTTTTACTTTGAGGGAACAAGGCTACATGTGTGCAAAAAGACAAAAAATATCAACAGGGCTTTAGAGTTTTCACATTTAAAAGGACGCCCAACAATGTAGTTCATGAGCTAAATTCCCACTCGCTTTCTCAAGTACAGTAAAGTATCGTGTGTTTGAATATTTAGTAAAGTGTTGCGGTGTATGTGATGCATGTCTGTTTCTTGAAACACTTCATGAATCTCACTAAATCAGCTCTCTGGTGAAGAATGAAACTGCAAATAAAATCTGTTACAGATTAGTGGAAGCTACTGCATAAACACATGAAGGTAACTTTTCCCCGACACCTTGCGCACACATGAAAAACCCACAACTACAAAGTACCTGTGAGTCTGCGTTGCACATGAGAGAAAATAAATATCAATATAATTCATTATCAAAAATGTAGGTTGTCTTCAAAATTAAGTTTCAGCTTCTGTTTCCACGGCTGGTAAATGACAAGCAGAAGATACTCTGTCCTGCAGAGGTGGACGACAAACCAGTGATTCAATCCAATTATATCACCGAGCAACACTTATCGTGTTGAGTTGTGAAGTCTGAGTTTGTGTTTGGTTTTCATCCGTCCACCCCTAAAACCAGCTGCCACACAGTAAGGCTCTTCATGTGAGGAAGCTGCTCCGTCAGCGCCCTCCCAGGTCAAAAAATGGTCAACAAAGTAAAACTAAACCCAACAAGTCACATAATTCTCAAGTCTGTTCAATAAAAGTGTTTTTAAAATTCCCTTTAGCCAAACATCCGCTCACCTGAATGTCATGAAAAAATTACAATTTGTCGGTTTGCTGATAGGTATTGCACCAACAACGCACCTGCTTGTACAAATATTAGATTATGCAGAAACAGCCGCAGCTAGACGGAGTATATACAGCACGATAAACACACACACACACACACACACACACACATCCACACACACCAACTAAGCTAGATAAGAGTCAACTAAACACAGCTGCGTGATCAAAAGTGGCACCAAAGTGAAACAGAGTGACGACGGGAAGTCACTGAGTTTACAAACCCTCCTCTCGCTGGAGGCCGAACGTACATTCAAAATCTGTTATCAAAAAAATCCTCATAAAACTCGGCTGAGAGATAAAGAACGAGCCCCTTCTGGATCCGAACGCGGCCTCGAGCTTCGCCTCTCCAACATCTGAGGTTGTCGGCCCCGGCTAACATCTGACGAGGGCGGTGTGCTACATGTACTGGCGTGCATATTCTACTCTACGTTCCCAAACTGTGGGTTCTAGCTTAACGCTAAACCCGCAGAGAGGAAGGCCACGGGGGCAAATATCTCCTGTCCAAAACCCTCATTCCAACATCTCACACTCAGTCCTGGAGAATGTAGCTGAAATGTAGGTCTGGATGTGTAAAATGTGGGAAAAGGATCAACCTCTGAGAAAAAATAAAAGTTCTTTAAAGGTCCAAAGACTGTGTGGAGAGCTGTAACATCTCTTCTTAACCACATAGGCGCTCGCTCTGCTGCCCCACGTCGATAATAGAACTATTTATGCACATGCTACCGACACTAAAAAACAAAGAAAAGGTACTTAGTGTCAATACGTGAGGAGGTGTGGTAGTGTGTGGTTCAGAGATGTGCTGCTTTGGTACGATCATGGATGGATTCCAGTTCTGGTAGTGCTTTTTTTCTTTTTCTTTTTTTTTTTTAAATAAACAAAAAAACTGTTTCACAAACACAACAGACGAAAACATCCCAAGAGACGAGCAAACACGCTTACTGTAACGCCTCCTGCTGAGGAGAACGGATGGAGAGGATTACAAAGCATACGTACCATATATTATTTATATGTTGTTGTTTTTTTTTTCTATTTACTGACTCCCTGTGAAGATTTAAAAAAAAAAAACACCATTAGAAAGAGGAGTAAGTGTCGCATCAGCGTGTCGAGAAAGACTGCAGGCCTCTCGGTCGGTCGGAAAACACGGAGCACCAAGTGGACGAGGGTTACTTCACACATGCACGCCTCAGAGCCACAAAAAGAGGCCAGAGCAGCCCTGAGCCCGAACACACACACACACACACACAGTCAGCCTCGGTGCATGTGAGCCCCCCCGCCATCGTCTGTCTCGTTCACTGTAAAGGGCGGTGGGCGTCGGGTTTGCGTGGAGCGGGCGAGTGCTGGCGTGAGCCCTCAGACGCTGAAGTCTGGCAGGCCGGGACGGACCGGTCGCTCCCTCTCACTTCAAAGCTGGTGCACGATGCTGTCTGTGTGGTTGACGGAGACCGAGCCGTCCTGGCGCAACCGCTGCCACTGGAAAGTCGTGCTGAGGGAGCCGACCTCGTCCTCCTCGTTCTCCTGCTCCTTGGCGAACTCCATGAACACCTGGAAGAGGAAGAAACGGGACAGAGGAGGAGGAGGAGGAGATATTAGAACGGATCCACAGCTTTAAGGGATTTAAAGGTCGAGGAGGGTTTTGTTAAATGGGCTGCTTTGGATTTCCATTCTGTAGAAGATGCTGCACCCCACTGTCATTCTGCTAAAGAGGAAAAAAAACACTCTGGCTTGTTTGTGTTTCTGAAAACATTTGCATGCAACAAGATGAAACAAAAAATAACTGCAAGGCTTTCCTGATGCACAAATCCTCAGCAAAACACGAAATCTTAGTTGTTGTAGTTTACTGCTTGGAGGTTGTTGTTTCCCTGTAGCGAAGAAATGCTAACATGAAGGTAGCAGAAGGAGGAGAATGCCAGTGTAGAAGAGTGGTGGCTTTGACCACCGCTCATTAGTCAGACTATGTTGAATTAGAGCAGCTGCTGATGCATCACTGAGCTACAGTCTTAAAAATCCAACTGCCACCACCGTGCAATGAAATTTTAGATAAGCTGAGCTGTGAGGGATCTATCGGGTGGATTTTTTGCAGACCACAAAAAAATAGGACACATCTACAGAACTGTCGAAATGACCTGAAGCCTTTGTTGTGCTGCTGGGACACATTAGTGTTCAAATGCAGCCATACGATCTACTGTAGAAGCGCGCACAGACAGCTGCAGACATGTAGTTGTTGCTGTAATTTATATATTTAGTCTTTTACAATCCACTGAAGTCTGTTTGGAGGAATCTGTAGATCAAATCTGTGAACTCTGTGCATGCGTACTACTGCCGAGCATGCTTATTGCGGCGTTGTGGCGTCAATTTTGCAATGCATGCAGACATCCTTTGACTTGAGAAATCTCGTGGAGATGTGAAGATGACAAAACTTGTCACACGTGGACCCGTGCTTACTTGCAGCTTCCAGCCTTTGGAGGATGCAGCCAAAGATTTTAAACACGACAGCACCCTAATACACCTGCTAAAGATTCCATCCATCCATCATCTCTACACCTTCATCCTCACTAGGGTGGTGGGGGGCTGGAGTCTATCCCAGCTGACTCAGGGTGAAGGCAGGTTCACCTGGACAGGTAACCAGTCTATCACAGGGCTACACTTAGAGACAGACAACCAAGCACACTCACATTCACACCTACGGACAATTTAGAATCACCAATTAACCTCAGCATGTTTCTGGACTGTGGGAGGAAGCCGGAGAACCCGGAGAGAACCCACGCTGCACGGGGAGAACATGGAGACTCCACAGAAAGATCCCGGGTGTCCTCACAGGGACGTGAACCAGCGACCTTCTAGCTGCGAGGCAATAATGCTAACCACCGAACCACCTTGCAGCCCCGCCAAAGATTCTAGGTGAACAATTTTAAAAAATACTTAATTTTGCAAATTGATTTTCCAATTAATCAACTAATCACTTGTCTATTAACTGCCACAAAATACTGATAAATGCTTACAGAACAGTTGATTACAGACGTTTTTCCTTATAAAAGAAGAATTGATCGTTTCAGCAGTAGTTTGATTGTGGATTGTATTTCTTTTTTTTACCTGCTCTAAAGTCGACTGGGAGAAGTTGTATTCTTCAAAGTTGAAGTTTTGCTTGGCTGAAGACAAACGGAGACAAAAAAAGATGAATAATTAATTAGTGAGTGAGCAGGTATGTCTCAGTGTGTAAGGAACTGTACTAGATGTGACTCACCACTTTCTAACTGAGAGAAAGACTTGGCCAGTGATTTGACGTCCTCCATGGGGATCTTATAAACCATCAGAGTGGCAAAGCTGAAGAGAAAACATCAGTTCATACAGAATTACACCTGGACATGCAGTAGTGAGATGCTTTACCACCAACATATGAACAAGGACTTACACAGCTTTGGAAAAATCACATCAAATTGTAGCTTAAGCAGCTTATATTTCTTCAGCTTCTACAGATCCACAGAATAAGATATTTCAGAGCTAACATACTTTTATGGGAGTAAACAATGAATTTAAATGTCAAAACTGTGCACTTTCCTATAAAAAGTGAAGGTTCTGTATCTGTACCAGTTTGCATGTGTTGAAATCTGACTTTCATCAACTTTACTTCCACTTTTCATTGCAGACTTTTGCGTTTTTGCAGTTTTTCGGGGGAAGTTATGCTGCAATCTATTGCAAAAGGACAGATCAGATATGCTTTATCCAGTTGACATTTACACCCACGATTAGCCAGCTGTGCAGGAGTGAAAGAGAAGAGATTCCCCCGATGCAGCTGTGAGACTGTTTATGTGAATAGTTTATGCAAACACCAAAGTTTTCGGACATCACATTTGATTTCTCGTGAAGAGCTACTTCTGGGAGGCCATAAAGCCTCAAAAAACCTAAAAACACACAGAGATCTGTGCTTGGTCTCACCTCTCCTGCCGGGCAGCGTGAGGGAAGATTCGGAGGATCTCCTTGTGCAGCAGCGCCACCTGCTGGAGCCCCGTCAGCTCCTCTCTGAGCTTCACCTCCAAACTGTAACCTCGACCGTATTTCCCTTTTAAATGCTGGATGGAGCCGATGCATCTGTCGGAGGAAAGACGGACAGAGGGTTAATCCGTAGCATCCAGGGATTCAGAAATCGGAGAATCATCAAAAAATTGCGTTTTTGTAGGTCAGTGCGAACCTCAGCTGGCCAGAAACCATGATGGCCACACGGTCGCACACGGCCTCGGCCTCCTCCATGTAGTGTGTGGTGAGGATGGCTCCTCGCTGACGGTTCTTGAATGCAGCACGTATGGCCCTCCTGCACAACATCAGAGACAGGTCAGACACTGTTTTGTAGTAATTAAAAAAGAAGAAAATGAGAGGGCCACAGTTCATTGTCCTCGAGGGAAACACAATTTGTTTTTTTTAACTGAGTAAACTGAGTTTATTATTTAAGAGAAATCATGGTGTTGACTATTTTAAATAAAGTTTTAAGCACAAATATGCATAAATTAAAAGCTTTTTCCTTCCTTGTCTTAACTCAAAGTGAAAGGTATAAACATGAAGAGGCTCATTCTTTTGTTTCAGGACATGTTTAGCGTGTCACCATGTAAAATACATACACATATAAAGTTGTGAATAAATAGTAAATACTATCTAATCTCACCACATGCGCTGTTTAGACTTGGGATCCATCCCTGATGACGGTTCATCCAGTAGGACGATCTGAGGATTCCCGATCATACTCAAAGCAAAACACAGCTGTAAACAAAAGAAACAACCACGTTAAGACTTTGAATATTCAATGAATTTACTGCAATTATGTCATTCGTTTTATAGGAGAAGCCAAGTTTCAGGATTCAACTTTTTGTGCAACTCAGCTTCAGCAAAGTGAAACATATTTTACACTACAGTCCCTTCTGTCATCCAGGTTGTAAGACATCAGAAAAATACAACACAATCACTTGGATTACATGTTACTGTTCATACAAATGATTATCTACAGGATATTTTATTGTCAAGTGGAGAAACTACAACATTTGGAGAAGGTTACATAAAAATGAGTTCAGGTTTTGTTCTCACCTTTCGCTTCAGTCCTGCTGACAGAGTCTTTGCTTGTTTGTTCAGGTGATCCTTGAGCTCCAGGGCGTTCACCACACTGACAACAACAACAGTCAACACACAACAGCTGTCAGCAGCTTCTACATGGATCCTTCAGAAGACGTATTTAGTATTTGGTTCCAATGGAAGTCATGACGGTGAATGTGTTTCTGTGAGGGAGACCGAGACTGACCGTTTGATGATTCCTGGTACGTCCTGCCCTTTCAGACCTTTGATGGCAGCGTAGATCTCCAGATGCTCCTGCAGAGTGATCCTGGGCCACAGTGGGTTCACCTGTGGACAGTAGCCCACGTGCTCCAGGGGACTGTCCACTGGTCGAAACTCAGTGCTGTAGTCGCCCATCAGCACCTGGACAAAGGAAAATACGGATACTGAGTGATAGTGACAATATTTACTTCATTTTTTTATTCAGGTTTTGGGTTCAACTGACACTAAAACACTGCTTTTGACTTCTGTGCTGCTAACAGAAAAGAGATGTGAGCACTGCAAAACTGCAATGACCTTTTTACTGTGAAAAAATTCATTGCTTTTACAATTTCTAATAATTTGCATTTTCCTTATTGCAACTATAAAACACCAGACTGGAATATAAATTGAGATTATGCTCATCTTCAAGCGGATTTTGATGTATTTCTTGCTTCTCGATAGCCTCAACCTGAAGCATCAATTCTTACTTTATGGTATAATAAGTAATAAAAACATTCTAATCAGCAGAGCAAATGCATTGGAGCAAAAAGCTTTTAGTTTTTAGTTAAACGTCAATGTGAGGGTCACAACTAGATTTAACCCCATGAGGCCACATGAGTGAAATTGTTGAATGGGAATCGTTAACTGATAATATACTCGTATTAGGTGCACCGTACCTGGCCGGCAGTGGGGTCCGTGTCACCTGACAACATGTGCATGATGGTGCTCTTTCCTGCTCCGTTGGGGCCCAACAGTCCAAGAACTTCACCTGAAGAAACAGACACAGGTTAAGGGTTTTCCAGAAATGAAGACAAGACTAAGTTTCTTCATGGTCTTTGGTGACGACCCAAACATACCACAGTCTCTGCAGGTTCCAACAAGTCAAATTCAGGACTTGTTAAGACCATTATGAGTGTCACTGGGTCAGTCTGTGTCAATTCAGACAGAATTTAGAGTTTCTTAAAAAGCGCTATATAAACTGTATGTATGTATTATCATTATTATTATAATTCTCCACAACACATCAAATTCCACTAATGCTAGACTCTTGCGGTTATAGCAAACATGAGATATATTGTGATGAGTGCTGATTGGGAACCTTCTTTAAGGCTCCTTATATGTTGTTAAATTTCAACATGAAGACAAGGACATGGCAGCAACCTTTAACTTTGTACATATAATGACTATGTACAGACCCCGATACACACCAGCCTTTGTGCTCCTACTAAAGAGTCCACTTCTCCACTGCGTCAACAAACAGCAAAAAACTGGAACCCTGTCTTGCTATACCTGCCCCAAATCAAATTCTACTGACGTCAGAGGCCCCAAAGAGCAGTTTTTTAGTAGAAAAAAAAAGAATACATCCATATACATACACTTACAGGAACTTTCTGGTGCCACAATACCATCCTCATTTGGAAGTTTTGCACTGTTTTCCATTTTCAAGGTCAACAATTAAAAATGTGGCCTCTGCTGACGCCATGCACTGATTTGGATCAGTTTTGCCTGTGTCCAAAATAAGCTAAAGTGTACCCAACATGACTCAACAGTTGGCGTACGTGACTCCAAAACCGTCCAAACTGACACAGACTTTGTCATAAAATCAAAAAAAATGACACAAAATTCATCCAAAATAACTCTGAATTTGTTCAAAACATCTCAAAACTTGTCCAAATGGACTCATATTGTTATTGTGATATGTCAAAATAAAAAAATATAACCTTGTCTTGCCACACTTTCCACACATCAACAAATCAAATTCTACTGACGTTAGAGCTTCAAAAGTTGGTGAAATGTCAACCAAAGACTGTATTTTCAGGAGGAAACACTTTTCCCCCCATTTTTAAGGGCCAATAATTAAAATGTTTGCTGCTCCTATAGCCATGTAGTCACAATTTGTACTGTGTCCTTGCCAAATTTCATGGCTGGGGGAGTTTTATTTCTTGAGATACTAAACCTGTAAAATAGCTTCCCAGGAAAGATGTTTTTTGAGGGTGAAAATACAAAATATTTTCCAGCTCTTTAGACCTTCTGAAGGGCCTGGACATAATGTAGTCTGGAAACCACTGAGCCTATAAAGCATTCGTCCACCTGAGACTAAACGCACCTTTGCGAACGCAGAAGGAGATGTTCTTTGTGGCCACTTTGCTCCTCTTGCTGAAAGAAAATCCTTCTCTTCTGCCCTTGTACTGCTTCCTCAGGTTGCTCACAACCACGACGGGTTTCTAAACAGGCACAGTGAAGAACCAAAGTTAACTTGTGCTCAGAAAATGCCTCACGTTGGCTAGTGGGCAAAGACAAACTACGAATATAAAGAAGATCCTACAAATTCACCTTGTAAAGTTGAAATCACTCTGACAAAATTCAACAGCTCCTCATTGTTTCTGTACCGAGCGAGAAAATCTTTCCTCACCTCTTCACAGGCCTGACAGGTGAGGGCCTCCTTCACTCTGGCCTTCTCCATCTGAACATCCTCATCCTCATTCTGACTGTCTTCTGGGTTTCTCTCCACTTTGGGCTTCGGCTGAGATGAAATCCTGCAAAAGGTTTAAAGGAATATCAAGGCTGGCACTTAGTCAAACTTTTGTTAAATGAACCACAGCCTGCAGCAGTTAATAACAATAAACATTACAGAACATTTATCCGTTTCTAATAATTTTAAAATCCACATTTGTATGATACAACCTAAGCTTTGGCTGTTTTTGCATGTAGACAAACTGTAGACTCGCTAGTTTGAATGTCCGACAAACTTGATTTTTAATCGAATGTTTCGTAATTATAACATAAATGTCTCAGTCAGTGGAAATACAAAGCAACAATCCTCAGTGTTTAAGCTATAAATGTACTGAGACTTCCTGTAATCAGAGTAATGATCTGACATCTGATCATCACCTGCAGAACTGATCGTTTTTCATCGTCCTCCCTCCGTAATGGATCTCCAGCCAGCGGAGCAGGAAAAGCAGAAGGATGCACTGGAGATACGGCTGAGCACAGAAATACACACAGATGATGGTTAAGCACACTTCTGCCGTCCATTTTTTAAATATTTTGTCCAAATTAATTCAAAATAGATACATACGGCCACGACTGAAATGAGCAGGTTCTTCCACAAGAAGTTCTCCTCGTACAGAGAAGGAAGGAAGGTCGCCTGCAAACCAAGAAAAAATATAGTTTCAGAGTCTAAATGAAACCCACCAGTCATGTTATGTCAGGCATGTCAGTGTTGTTGCAATATTTCATGTAGATTTTGCATTTCTACCTTAAATAACAAGAAAATACCAACATATTAGTCTCTTCAGCTGCAAGATTTTCCACTTTTCTCACCTGCTACTCTTGTAAAATCGTGTGTTTGACACTGTACAGCACAGTTATCAGAGCTTATTTGCTTTCAGTCTAGTACCATGCTCATAAGAACATTTGGACATCCCCCTCGTCTGGTATCTATGACCTCTGGAAGTCTGGAGCACACGAGTGTCATCACATGTTTGCCGACATTTTCAAAAACTGCAGAAGCCACGGATGTTAGATTTTTAGGGGACGCTAATTTAATATATTGTAATGTTTTGAGTTTTTACTCCAAATTGTATATTATCTGAGAAAAATGTTGATATTCCCAATGATCTTGTCTTTTCATTATGCCTCTGCATCCCCGACATTATATTATCTGCTCTTTAAGTTGCTAAACGTTTAGCCTCGATGGCTTGGAGACGACCTCCTCGGCCGACGTTACCACTGAAGCGCCGAGCATTTGGTGTGCACAACTTCCAATGTCATGATTAGAAGATTTATTTGAAGGCTCTTGTGTGCAACTGTGAAATTAAAACAATGAGCTAAAACAGACTGAGAACAACTGCTCCACATCACGTGAGCTGTCTGATACTGTGTTAAGATCTACAAAGGCAGATTAATGCAGGTTTTGAGACAGAAAGTCAGGCAGAGAAACCACTTTCAATTGAGCTCCTACCTTGGTGATGCAGTTGAGGCAGCCCATGAGAGGATACAGAGGGTTGAAGAAGCACAAGATATTGTGCAGGTTTCTCGTCAGTCCAGGGTTGTCGTTCACAAATGACAACTGAACCACGGAGGCCGACACCACACACACCTGAGACACAAGTCATTAGACCCACATTAAAGGTGTTTTATTTCTAAATGAATAACAACTGGCATTCAAAAGCAAAATTACTACAAGAAGCTGCTTCGGTGTCACAGTAAGAACAAGAAGCTGTAGCTCTTTTAATCTTTTCTTTTTAGATCTTTATAAACAAAGCTTTGTGTCTCACCATCATGGAGATGACGGAGAAGAAATCCCTGTTGCTCTGGACTCGAGCGAAGCCAAAAGAAAACACGTAAGTGAAGAGGATCATGGCCGGACCGAAGCCCACAGTGCAGAGAACCTAAGAGAGAAGACGAGAAAAGTCATGACTATTCATCAATAGTACTGTATTATACAGTAATACAGCGTATAAAGCAGGTGTACGGACCACAGCGGTGAGGTTGCTGGAGGTGAGCAAGTTTCCAGTGTGGAAGGAGAAGAGGATGATGGTCATACAGGACAGGATGAGGTAGTAGAAGGGGATGTCCACCGCTGCCTGGCCGCACCAGTAGGCCGATGGGACCAAACCGGAGATACGAAGAGTGGAGCGACACTTGATCTGGAAAGGACAAAATAATAAACTTATTTCTTATATTTATATTTGGCATGCACTGCATTACCACATTAAAGCCTTTCCAGGATAGTTAGATAAGACTCTTTGAAAAAAAACAGGAAGCAATAATGGGATATTGCAGAAGAAGAATTTAAGAACACTTTTCATGTGGGCTGGTTGGAAAGGAAAAATAGCAACGGTGAAAAATAACACCAGTTATTTTCCTTAAACAACTTTAATTCATTATCCATGTCGATTTAACCACTGGAAGTCAAAGCTGATGTTTTCGTTTTCTTACTGAAAGCAGATAGAAGAGTAAAGTGCAGCGACAGTTTAGACCAAATCAGAGAGCGAACATGTGAGTCTGCGTCATAGTTTCCAAAACCAAAACTAAAACACAACAGTTTTCATACTAAAACGTCTCAGCAGTCTTTCCAAAACTCCTAACTGCTGGAGTAGGGTGGGCTATGGGTAAAAAAAACAGAATTTAAATGTTCTAAATCTAAAACATATTCGTGTTGATGCAGCACAGAAAGCACAGAGTCAAACAATCAATAAAGAAAATGTTGAGTTTGTAAACTCAATGCACAAATCACATCCCTCCTTTGGGCAGGCAGGATTTCCAATCAGAAATCCTTGACATGTTTACAAACTTGTGCTAAGCTAACAGTTTCTAGGTTAACGCTGTGTGTTTACACGCTGCGAGGTGCAACATTTCTTCTCTTAGCAGGGCTGCAAGATCATTGCGAAAACGCTAATCATGATTATCATTATTCATATTAAGATGCAGATTATTCACTGATTTGAGAAAACAAAATATTTTTATTGCACCGTCACATAAATAAACAGAGCACTGCTTCTGTCACGTCCATGTTGTGCTAAATTCCTGTTAATGTACAAATCAACACTGAAATTAGACCTAAAATAAAATTCACCTGAATCACAGCATCACCTGGATGCAAAATATAAATAATATTGTACCCAAAACACCTCACTTGCTGCACATCTGCTTATCAACAGATGCTAGAATTTGCTGAGGTTCATTAAACGCCTCAGGTGCAAGCTGCAGTAGACATTAGCTAGAAGCCTCTAGTCTCCAGTCAGCTACTGCAGCTACTCAGACATGTGGTGTCTGACTAAAAATGAGTTCGACAACAATAAAATAAGGCGTTCTAGTGTCAGATTTACTGAAACAATTTAATCTACACAAACCTTTCTATGAGTGGAGCATTTTAAATGTCAATATCGTCACCAGCCGTTAATTGTGGGAAGCAAAAATTGTGGCAAAAACTCGATTAATTGTGCAGCCTTGATATCACTACAATCTTACACATTTTAAATTAGATGATTCTTTACATTCCACTGGATTTACACTTAAAAATACTTTACTGGAATCCTTCAAATTCCTTATTTCTTGGTTGAAGCAGTGTGTATATACACGCTGTGAAGTGTAATATTTCGTCATTGCTGGAGAGATTAAAGTTTTAGTTATAATCTCTGGGAATCAGCGGTTACCTCTCGGTCTCGAGTGTGGTCCATTGCAAAATACGCAGGCATTCCAGCGGCCAGCATTCCCAGTATGATCGCCTCTATGTACACCAGAGCGTAGGATGTGGCGTCTGGGATTTGCTGAGGGATGTCACAGTGGAAAAGATTAATATCTTTAAATGGCAGCTGAGAAACTGTACATGTAAGATCCGTGTCTCTGTCAGACACTCACATAATCAAACGGTTTGGTCCAGGTTCGGATGTGTCCGGAGCCATTCAGGCCTCGTAGAAGAGCGTTGCTCAGTATGTTCACAGCCATGGGCAAGGAGTGAACGGTGGTGCTGTTAAAAGCGACGCTGTATCTGAAACCCTGTCGGCAAACAAAATAAAGTCAACTCCAACTCAATAAAAAAAGCTCTCAGAGGATTCAACAAAAGGGCATTTCATCTGTACCGCTATATTAAGTTTAGGCGCTCAGGCTTCATCAAATATCTGGAAAATTAAATTCAATCTGTGCAGTATTAAAGCGACCTTGCTGGATCCTGTTACGTTGATGGCAGCGCTGTGGGGAGCTGCAGCCATGTAGTCGCTGTGCTTCATCATTTCCACTTTGATATCCTGCAATTCCAGGTTGTGGACGAAGTCGGAAATATCAGATCCTGGAGACAAACGGGGAAAAAAAACCTGCACTGAGAAGAATTCAAACTGGAGAACAGGAGGAATATTCACATCGTCATCATCAAAAGTTAGAATTACACCAATGAGACAAGCTTATCGATTATGTTTTACTGTGCAATTTAACAGCAGTCGCTATCTCATCACAATATTTACAGCATGCAGCACTTTCTGCCAGAAAAAACAGCTGAAGTCTCATTCAGAGGACAAGCATCAGTTGTACAGCTAACACCAGGATGCAAAATATAATTCGATCTGCTGCGAACTCACCTGAAGAGTTCTGAACCAGGAGGCTCGTGGCGTATCTCCGAGGTGCCTGGTGCCTTTTGAGGAGGTAAATGGGTGAAAACTGGCGGTCTGAGGAGTGAATCTGGATGTTTCCTGTGGCCAGAGACAGGACGAGGACTGCAGCGACGAACACCAGGAACAAGGCCAGGCTGCGGGAGAAGTTAGGATGAGAAAGAGGGGTATGTCGTGCAACACAGATCTCCAATTCACAAGTCAAACCAGAGATGCTGCAGTTATGTGGAAAAAAAACCCTTTAAAGCTGCATTTATTTAAATGCAAACTTTGATCTGCTGCCTCCAGCTCCTTTTTTTTGGGGAACTTGGTTAAAAAGCTCACGTTAACAAATTAAATAAAAGCAAAACTAGGCTAGAGTTAATTAAATATGCCCGTAGAAGCCCCTCTTACACAACAATGTGAAAAGCTGGAAAGGCACTGTGGCTGTTTCAGGAGGATTTTCAGTTAGTGAACAAACAAATACTACATGGAAACAGTGAAAAATACGAAACCTTTTGAAATCCCTCCAACATAACTAATGTGGAGAAGCAAAATGGGCCAAAATGCAACAGAAATAAATCATTTTTTAGACCGAAACCCCCGTTGTTTAACTACAGTGGTAACAGTCAGGACAAACTTTCCTCCCAACGACTTCTCAGTTTGTTTTCTCTGATAAGCTGCTTGGCTTTTGCAACAGTTCCTGGAAATATGCAACTCTTACAACCGACTGACCATGTTTACTGTTTCCTAGACGAGACTGTAGTACATGTAATAATAAGCACATTATACCATTTAGGTTCTTGATGTCTGTACTATTAAATATCAGTCATAGTTTGAACAGTTTACGAATGAACACTGAAGTAGCTGCACTGATTTGTGTGATTTGTGTGTCTCGCTGCTGCAGAGTTTTATAAGCCACTTCCACTCCATGTTAGCTGGTTTTGGATTAATGTGGCAGAACCTTCACATGAACATACATAAAGAGTGGAAGTATGTAGAAAGGCCCACAGACATGGCTAATAAATGAAGGCATGCATGAGCAATATAACTTTAACACCAACAGGAAGAGATGGATAAAACAAGAAACAAACACACAGTGGCAGCCAAATTAGCATAAATACATTCTAATTGCTATATTTCGATCATGGCATTCATACTGTGGTGCTACCAGCTGCTTTTTATTGATGAATCAGCTCCTAATATTTGCATCATGGTAGGAAACAGGTATTATTTTGCATCTTTGCCAGACTTCTCGATATCTGGTTACAATTTGCATCATATAATGTAAACAAACCTTTGGATGGACATTTTCCACACTGATAAACGTCTGTTAGTGTACCTGCCGGCTCTGGCCGTTTGTTTCAGAAGATCTAACAATCAACTGCTCGTGGTCGATTGGTGGCACCTGAAAAACTCTTTCACTCTCTTTCAGCCATCAGACTCTGCAGGAGCAGTTTCCTCACACCCTATTCTTTGTGGTTTTTAGTAAATGTAAAACTGGGTTATCCAGTTCTTGTTTTCTTTTTCTGGGGGTTTTTCTGGCTCCAAATAAGCCGTTAGGGTTGATTATGTAGCACAGTAGGCATGATAGGTCCACACACACAGTAAAGGCAATAAGTTTAAACAACCCAGTTTGACAGAGATCTATGCTTTCCCTGCTATTTCTGACCTTTTTGATAAACAAAAAACAAAAAAAGCATCTAATATGCTGAGTAAATTAAACCTAAATTAACATTCCTGTCTTCCAAAAAAGCTCCATTAGCTGTCATTATTTTTATACTTTGACACTGAATAATAAAACTGAGATCTCATTAGCGCTACCTTCACAGCTAGGTTCATAAAAAATAGAGCATCGCTAAATAAAATAAGTTTAAAGCGGCTGTTGAGAAGTGGGAAGGAGATTGATAAATTGCTATTAAACAGATTGACAGATCATTTTAATTGCTATTTATTTTTTATCATTTTGGCACAATTTATTTGCTAAAACCTCTTCGGGGGTTGCAAATATTCCTCTATGCAGGAAAAGTCCCAGCGTCATGTTGCTACCTCAGGGTTGTACCAATAAAAAATGCAAGAATAAATCAAAAAACAGCATTTTTCTGTGCACTTTTTTGAACAGTAAATTAAGCGCATGAGTCCTACTTCTTCAGTCTTTTTTCCCAGAACACTCACGTGTAAACGAAGGCCTTCCTCTCCCTGCGCATGTTGAGCATGTGCAGCCACGCCACGGTGCTGAACTGCTGCCGCCACAGAGCGTGACCCGACACCACGTCCGACTTGCTGTCCGTGAACGTGAGCAGCCGCTGGTCCGTGTCGTCGATGGAGGCGTTGTCGCATTCGTCCTCCGCCTGCTCCCGATTGAACACGCTGTAGTCTGGAAACAGGAAAATGTCGCCGTGTCACCTGACGAAAGAGCACTTCTTGCATTTTTGCAAATTTATCACCGCTGATCGTCACTTTGGAAACGCACTCACCAGCTTGATCCACTTCAGCCTCGGCCTCCAACCGAAGGAAAACATCTTCCAGTGTTGTCATGGAAACGCCATAGTTGATTATGCCCAGGTTGGACTGACCGTCGAGTTCCGAGAACAAGCCTATAAAAGACAGATTAATCACTACTCAAAGCTGGTGCATAAAGCTGAGTCACAACTTGAAATCTGATTTTTTTTTTGTAGTATTTTGTCTGGGTGGGTCTTTTGTTCTGAAGGATGGTGCAGAAAGGCAGCAGTAAGAGGGCATTATGTTAATGAACTTTTGCAGACCAGAACACCAGCTAAAAATGTGGGATTTCACCAACACCAACTAGCAGCAATGTTGTGTTAAACCATTTACCAAAAAAAGGATTTTTCGACCCAGATCACGATCACATCAACTATTTATTTGTCTGCATATTTATTGTGATCCGACCTGGAAATGTGTCCATGCTCTCGAAAGGCAGAGTGTAAGTCAGCTCTGCTTCGTGTTGTCGGGACAACTTCGCTTTGGGAACGTGGTGCTTCACCAAAGTCGTGATCTTTTCGGCTTCACATCCCTCAGTGATGGACATTCTGCAAAAAAAAAAACAAACAAACATTAAAAACTAGTTAAATAAAGACACGTGTGGTTAATACAGCATCTGTAAGGATACAAACCCTCAATAAATTACAGCAAAACTACATTAAAGATCTACTGAGGATTGAATTTGTATCTTAATATATACATTTAATCATCCTTTTTACTAAATATAAACCAAACCGCTGCTTGCCTGAGATGATATCCTACGCCACACTTGATCTTCAGATACAGAGAAGAGCCGACGCATTTCAGTTGTCCTTGAGAGATCACAGCTTTGCGATCTGGAGAGATGAAAAACACATCCGTTGTTATGTGTTTACCGATAACAGATTTCAGAATCTAGTCCTGCCTGCCTTTTAGGGCCAAAAAGAGGCTTGTTGCCCAAACTTTAATGCCTGTGATGGATCATGGTGATATCATATCCAGTCTATGTTTATTACAAATCTTAAATCGCTTACTTACTTAACTCTATAGCCATCAAAAATTCATGAGGCGTTTGCTGGCCCCTTCGCTTGGAGCAGTTACTAAATTTCCTTAATCTTAAAGATGTGTTCTCACTAAATGAATAAAAAGTAATTTTATGAGACGTGGAAGCCCTGTTTGATCATTTATGACTTTACATTTTACTCATTGTACATTACTGCAACTATTTTCAAATTGATTCAACTCTTGCTGTGTTTAAATGTGCTTTATAGATAAATCTGAAATACTTTGCATGCTTTTTTTTGCGCTTTTACGACACTATAATGCACTTATAAGCTTTACGTAAACCCAATATAAGCATAGAGAAGCACCGAATCTGGAATTCTGCAAATGCAGCTGGCTAAAAGCAATTTAATGACACATCTTTGAAGTGTAACTACGGCTCAGAAGCTGGTTGTCAGCTGCAAGAGCATCATAAGTCTTTATATATAACTTATAGTCACTTATTTCAAAGTGGCGACAGCAGAATTTTAAACTCTGATGAAAACTTGAACCTGTCACACTTGTTTCAGACAAACGCTGTAATAAAAGCAAACATAATATAGTGACTTGCAATCCAGTACTTAAGCAACTAATGTTCCGTATTCATTGGGCCCTTTTATTTTACAAGTTGGGACTGCAGCTGGCTGATGTGTCTGGTGCCTGTGGGTCTGTGTGTGTTACGTAACAGGGTGCGTTCGTACCAGCGAGGATGTCTGCCTCGTCCATGTAGTGTGTGCTCAGAACCGTGACTCTGCCGGCTCGGCGGCTCTTCAGCAGAGACCAGACCTGGTGCCTGGAGCAGGGGTCCATCCCTGCGGTGGGCTCATCCAACAGCAGGATCTGGCAGGAACAAATGTGTTGCTCAGAAACTCATGTCGTCCAGATTGAAAGAGTAACTGCATTTAAAGGCTCTCATACACAAATGAAACAAAATCCGTTATCAGCGCTAAGAGCTACCTTGGGATCTCCTAGAATGGCGATGCCCACGGAGAGCTTCCTCTTCTGGCCTCCGCTCAGATTCTTAGCCTGAGCTGTCATGATCTTCTCCAAGTCCAGATCCTTCAGCACTTTGGTAACCTGTCAGAGAAACCAAATAACACTACGGATCAAGAGACTAACACTTCCCTTGAATTAACAGGCCCTATATTCTATTTCATGCTACTTATAAAAGCATCAGATTGGATTTTATTGTCACATTTTGGCCTATAGATATCATGCAAAGTAAACATTTTTTCTAGTTTATTTACTGCTTTGCCAAGATGTTGAGGACTAAATGTAATTAAGCAAGAGAGCTTACCCCAGGCAGATGTAGTGCAGATGTACAATTTCTGAGTCTTTAAGACCGTTATTATAAGATCTAAGACATTCCATTAACAAAACCCTTATGTAAAACATATTTCACTTCATCAAAATGCACACTAAAGTCTTTCCAATACAGGGACTTGTTATAACGCAACGCTATAATATTAAAACACATAACTCCTGCTATGTTCATGCTTAAAGTCCTCACGACTCCAGCATGTTAGGATCTTTTGGAGGCTTTTGGAATCATTGCAGATTTTATTTGTTGTTTTATTTTGGATGGGCAGAAATGGTGACTCGTATCATTCCTTCATTCGCCACGCTCCACAAAGAAAGAATAATTTTGAACTGCATTTTTGAAAATATATTAGTGTGGCTTTAACCTAAAATGGTGCTACAAAACTTTATTCTGGTGGCGTCAAGGACAAAAAACGTAAGTCTTGTCTTCAGCCGTTCTACCTTTTACTTTTGAAGGATGAGTTAAAAGCTGTTACGGTAATTTCCAAGGACAATTATTACCTTAAATTTACCTAAATTAATTGAACAATTTATACTCAAACCAACATTTTGATCATTACACTACCTCAGCATCGATGTCCGCGGGCGGGATCCCTTTGATGGCAGCAAATATCCGCAGGTGCTCCTCCACGGTGAGCACGTCGAAGATGATGTTGAACTGGGGGCAGATTCCCACCAGCTGCTTCATTTCTGACCCGTCTGCGATCTCCGCCACCGGGGTGCCGTAGATGGTGGCCGTGCCGTTGGTGGGCGGGCAGATGCCGCACAGGATGTTCATGAGAGTGGACTTTCCGGCGCCGCTGTGTCCAAGCAGAGCCGTGATCTGGCCTTCGTAGATGTCGAACGTCAAACCTGGGAAGGGAAGGTGAAGAAAAGGAGGATGCTGTCATGAAAATTAATTTACACAGTTTTAAATTGGCCTTAATTATACCATGGAGACAAATCCAAGGCTTAATTGCAGTTTTTATTGATTGCAACTCTCATGGTTTTTAATATTTTCATTGTTCTTATTGCTTCATTTGTCTTTTTGTTAATTCCTGCACTTTTTAGCAGACTAAAAGTTTGTTTTTATCCAATGTGGCTCCATATTCTTCTGCTTTTAAGCATGTCTGTATGTACTGTAGATCACTGAAATAAGAAATTTCCGTTAATGTCTACTCTGAGGTTTTAAATAAGATAAATGAAAGAATCAGAAACACAGATAAGACACATGGTGGGAAAGAACACTGAAATATTTCAGTGTTTCATTTCAATGTGTGCATGTGCAATAGAATGTATTGTAATGAGCCAAATTAGCTTCACTGTGGGACACTTTCTGCTTAATAAACATGACAACTAGCTAGAAAGGTTAATATTTTCCACACCAAATCTCAAATGCAAACTCTGTTTTTGCCACCATAACTAACAAGTCCTTTATATGCCAGTTTGGAGAATAAGCAATCACATTTATTCTTAGATCAGACATATACATTTAACAATTAACATGTGTTCTGGGGATTTTAAAATACATTTTCTTCACATTTTAAACTATGCTACCGAATCATAACTTTTTAATGTCACAAAATGCCTTTGACCCACAATGAAGCAATCAGGTAACCTCTTGGGGACTCACCTCTCAGAGCCTCCACGATGTTGTCCTTCTCCTTGTACACTTTGCGGATGTTATTGATGCTGTCAGGGACGGAACGAGTGAGTGATGAAGAGGAAAAAAACAGAAAGTCGAGAAGTGTAAACACAGAGGAAGTGTCAGACTGAGGAGCAGGTCTCGTGTTACTGGCTGTTCCCACCGGCTCTTCTCAGCCAACAGCGCTGTTTGGCTCTAAACCAAGAACAGGCTGCACATCTCTCTGAGCCTGATGCTGATTTCTGTTGCAAACTCTCACAGCCTTCGTTTCCCTTCCCTCTGAGTGCATACTTTAGAAACAGATATTTTGTGTGTGGCGCACTAAAAATTAAGTTATTTACTTGCTGCTGCGAAACTGTGCAACATACAAAAGCATTAGATCAAAGCAGAAATTTAACAAGCTGCATTTGCAAAAAGCATTTATTATTTAGCTCCAGAATATTCAATCCAATCGACACTCATAGGCAAGTCTAGACTTTTACCGGATGGCTTCTTTGCCTCTGAACTCAGGTGAAACCGGCTCAACAGACTCGTCACCACCAGGAGCGCCGTTCACCTCCGTGTCGTACACCGAGCTCACTTCCACGTATCGCTTCCTGCGTTTGGACCAATAGGACGGCTTCAGGAAGTACACCAAGGACCTCCTCATTCCAAACTCACCTGCGTATCAGACAGCATGTAAAAAGTACTGCAGTATTCCAACAGTGGGCTATAAATACTGATGTCCTGATCAGATCTCAAAAATTGGGTTCCAATCAAAACATTTTTTTAGCCGGTTGTATCGACACAAACCAAAACCTGCTGTAACAAAGGTGTCATAAAGAAAGAGCCCAATTTGTGGCAGGACGCTAGGGATGCAATCTTGAATAATAATCTTAAGCCCTAGTTGGACGCTTTATCAATCATTTATATATTAATTGATAGCACAAAATGAGCCCAGTGGAAAATTTTCCTGTGCTAATATTGCTGCAAACACTAGTTGCTGCTGTATGGGAAACATGTCCTACTCAATAATGGCTTATTGTAAACATTTGAGGTTCTTAAGTGTCACAGAAGTCTTTGTCATGGTGGCCCTTTACGAGCTAAATTCCCACAATGCTCTCTGCTTGTCAACAAGGAATTGCCTGTAGTCTGAGTGATTATCTGTTTGGGTTGCCAGAGCCTTACAACAAGGTTTGTGACCACCTACATAAAATTAAGGAACAGCTTGGATGCAGTGTGTACCATGTAGGAAAATGCCATTGGCTTGGGATTTGATATCGGCAGACACTAAATAATAAACGGTTCATGATCAGGATATCCCCAGTTAAGGTTAAAGTAAAGTGTTCTTGTACTTACCAGGCAGCACCTGGTCCAGGTAGATGGCCAGCAGAAGGTAAAGGACGCAGTCTATGACCAGCATGAGCAGGGGCACGTACAGCGGATGAGGGCCATTGGTCAAAGAGGAAAACACAGCACCGTCTCCCTGTGCCTCCAGGTAAACCACCTAAAATATATGTAACACACAGGCATGCAGCAACGGATCAATCCCTGTGGCTTCCACTGCATTATGTCTCATAATTACTCTTTGAACAGTCACCAGGTCGTCGGCAACCCATGTAAGCTTGCAGTTTAAAAGAAAAAAAACAGCTCCCATAAAGTTAGGCTTACAGGTCTGAAATTCCATACAGGTGTGGTGGATAAGATGTAGAAGGTGTGTGGTGATTCGTTTGGTTCTGACATAAATCACATGTTAGTTATTGTTATTCAAATATGACTGACATTACATATTTAATGTGAAGATTTTTTTAACCACTGATGTAGTTTAGGATGTGTTTTTGCTAAACAAACCCATTTTCAGACACTAGAAGATATCACATGTTAAATAAAGTCTAATATGTGCATTTTGGCTGTATAGTTCTTTTGTTATAAGACTTTCCAACTGATTGACAGGTGAGAAATCCGTACAAAAGGAGTGGATGTTAAAAGGTTAGTGGTCACAAGACAGTATGGCTCGTTTTAGAGTGTCTGAGTCAGACAGTGGTGCTATTTTAACAACAGCCTCACAGGAAGTACGTTAAACTTACATAAATATGTGCAGCAAGAACAATCCAAAGTGCTTTAAATTCAACAAGAAAAAGCAATGTTTGCAGGATGTTGAATGAATTTGGACCTTGATGAAGGCAAAGCACCACCGTCAGGGTGAAGAGCAGTTTTACAACAAGCTACTAACAACATTCATGGAGAAATTTCTTCTGTCATTAACGGTCTATACTTTAAAACGGAGTGTGGCTAAATGAGTTTTTGTAACCTGTGCAATCCCGATGGAGAAGGCGCTGGGGGACAGCAGGCAGAGGAGCCAGACCAGCGGCTGTGGGAAGTCCTTCATCAGCACAGTGAACAGTGACAGGCAGCCAAACACCACCGTCAGCATGGAGCCCACTGTGCTGGCAAACTTGGGCTTCTTAAATAACGGAGTCAGCATGAAGGAGAAAAAGATCTGTGGGACAAGAATGAAAGAAGACTGTCAGAGACAAGAGGAGGAGAGGGAGAAATCACGAGTTGCACGACTCCCACCCTGTATACTGTTGTACTGAGGGAACACAGACAAATAACACAGCACTCAGATTCATAGTGTGGGGATTGTATTCTGGCAGATGTGTATGTTTTATTCAAAGAAATCACTTTTCAAGCTGACTTACAATTTTAAAAAATATCACCTTGGTAATGCTGCTTTACTTAACTCTGGATTATCCAAAGTTACACATATGCTGCTATGTCACTTTTTTTTTTACTGTTGTGACCAACACAGACTTTTTTTATTTGATTTTTTTTAAATTTCAGATGCATATCTCAAATTTTTTGCACAAAAACTGAAACTACCTACAGCAGGGGTGTCCAATCCTGGTCCTCAAGGGCCACAGTCCTGCATGTTTTAGATGTTTCCCTCTTCCAACACACCTGATTCCAACAATCAGGATCGTTATCAGGTTTCTGCAGAGCTTGATGATGAGCTGATCATTTGAATCAGGTGTGTTGGAAGAGGGAAACATCTAAAACATGCAGGACTGTGGCCCTCGAGGACCAGGATTGGACACCCCTGATCTAAAACATGCAGGACTGTGGCCCTCGAGGACCAGGATTGGACACCCCTGACCTACAGTATATGGCTAAACGCTCTAAGGGACAAATGAGGAGATAAACATGTAAAATGTGTGAAGAGGTTCTTTCACACTCCGAACTCCAAAACCAGCCGGCACTTTTGAAAGTCCCGTTTTTGTTTTAGATCTTCAAAATGAGACAATTTATCAGAGCCACAAACTGTAAAAACAGAAAGAATCGTTGGATTTTCAATATTCTGTCAATCCTTGAACTACTCGTCTGTTATGTGCAAATCTATCAGGAAACTTAACCAAATCTATGCTTAACATCGTGACATTTCATCAGAATCATGTCTCACTTTCTACGCATGTCATTTAAAAAAACGTTCAAAAAAAAAATAAAGCGTTTGCTCAAACCAGATTCTGTAAAACGCAAAAAACCGGCAAACACAAACCATTAGTGACTCAGCAGTGAGTAATAGTCATGTGACAAAGGTTCACGGACAATTTGGCTGAAGTGCAGGCTGTGTTTACACATACGGAAACACTTAAAAAACGTAAGTAGTAAAATATCTATTGATAATTGAGTCACAAAAATTTGCACACGTTGATCCCAGGCATTTTCAGTTTTCCTAAAACATATAATCAAGTTAATGTAACTTTCATTTTTTTCTTGTTTTAAGATTTATGGCATTCCAACTTTTCAGCACAGAAGACATTTCTGAGTTCTCTCTCCTTCTTCATGGTTGTTCTGTTTCCACTGAGGTGAAAATGAGCTTACAGCGAGTAAAAAATGTGACCGGAGCACAAAAATCGCCCACAAAGTTGTTGGGGTTCAGAGGGTTAAACGAAGCAGCACACTTGCGCTGGTGTAATTTCTTTCTATGACAGCTCTACTCACAGATGATATTCCATAGAGGAAGATGAGGAAGAAGATGACGAAGAAGTCGCTGTTGGGGAACAGTGCCGTGAAGGTGGCGATGACGGCCATCAGGATGGACATGGTGGTCACCAGAGCAGCGTACAGGAGGCCCCATGATAACCTGGAGAACAGCACTAGAATATAAGCATATTCACACACTCACATAACAACTAGTTCTGTAATAAAGGTCGCTATTAACATTTACCAGAAAGCAGTGTCGTAAAGCCCCATCATGGTCATGGTGTCCTTCAGGCGATGCTCCTTCTCAGCCGCCACGTTGACGATGAGGAAGGTGACGAACGGTGTGAAAGCCAGGACCAGGTAGATGGAGATGAGGGCGTGGGGGAACTTCTGCACCTCCACAGAGCCGGGCTGACCCATCATCACCACCTTTAGGTCCATCTCGCTCCACACCGAACGCTTTGTCTGCATCTGCGCTCAACAGATAAACCAAAAGGTATGAAATTAGGACTGCAAGAAGGGCTGCAACTCCATTATTTTACCGATAAATTGATTAGTTGTTCATTAGTGGTCAATTAAATGTCATAAAATGATGAGTGTTACTGAAAAAGACCAAAACAACGTCCTAAAGTGACTCCCTTTGTTCACAACCAAAAGAAATTCAGTCTACCGCCAAAGAGGAGGAAAGAAACCAAAAAAATATTTATATTAAAAAGTTGGAATTCGAAAATTTTGACGTATTTTCTAAAAAAAAAAAAAAAAATACACAAACTGATAATCACTTATTAAATAGTTGCCAACAACTAATGAATTCATTCTTTCATTTTCGGAGACTTGCTCAGAAAATCTATAAAAATGCCAAAGTAATACATTTTTCTGTCTTTTTTCTTTTGAAGACCTTTTGTGAAGCGAGTATTTGTTTTACTGCACACATCAGGTTGTATAACGTGGTTTTTCTGAGTAAAATCGTGTAACATTTGCATATTGAAAATTCAGATATTGTGCTTTAAACATCACAGACTTTAAATCAAAACCATTTTCTTTATTGCACATGACATCACATCTTGGTTCCTCCTGCAGACTAAAGCAGATTAACTCTGGAGGACAGTGTGTTTTGTCTCACCTGGATGATGGCTGCATCGATCAGAGACTGGAGGCGGGTGAAGCCGGAGTACCAGTAATTAGCAGCTCTGCAGTTCACCGAACTTGTAAAGCAGTTGGCTGGAGGAGAACAAGCGCAATTACAACAAAGTGTGTGCCGGATATAGCTGACAAACACTTTACATTTCAGCACGGGAAGGTGATAATCTGGCTCGCAGTCGTGTTACTCGCTGTCTCTTTTCTACTCACGACGCGAGTCAACTAAAAGCTGAGTGATTCTGGCTAAAGATCGACATGAACACACACAGGCAAGAGAAAAGAAAAACTGGTCCGGCTGTTGTTGTACATGATAGGCCTGCAAATGTTTCATAAAACAATAAAAAATAAATTAAAGGTTAACTGAAGTCAATTAAAAGGTTTCGGGTAATTGCCAAGCTGCAACACCCTGATGGTAGCTGGTTGGTTATGAGTCAGTTACAGCAAAGATAGGTGCTGACGTTGGAGGAACGACTGATTCATTTCAAACTACTACTTTAAATGTTTCTGCATGGCATCTTCACACCAAAGGACTCAAATAGGAATCAAATCCTGTAGAAAAGGCTCCACAAATGAGGTTCTGCTTCAACTGGTAACAGAAAATAAGATAAATCCATTTCAAATTTAATCTATAAAACAAGAAAAATGTGCAACAGAACCAAGCAAAAATACAATAAGATGCAATAAAATCCCATCAGACTGTACCAATGGATTCTGTGTAATCGCTGGGTAGGGGCAGCTGGTTGTACGGGAAGCGCAGCCTGTAAGACGTGGCCGAGCTGTCCATGAACACCACACCGACGTAGCTGGAGGGCTCGTACAGACTGGCGTTCTCCAGATCCTCCTCGCTGGCAAACATCTCCAGGCGATCCTGCATGTCTGGAAACACAAGAAGGGTGTCAGTTCAAAGCCCAGTTCATCCAGCACGAACTAACTCAATTTAAACCACAAGACGGTTTTCAAACGTACGCATCTCCTGAGCCACCTCCTCCATGATGTGATTGGTGACGTTGGTGATCGGCGTGTAGCCCAGGCCCTTGAAGAAGGGGTTGTCGGGCTCCAGCTCTGTAGTGCTGATGCCTCCATAGTAGACGTGAGGATTCAAAGTGCTGATGAGAATCAGCAGACCCAACAGTAGCAGAGGTAGGATCAATTCCTGCAGACAGACACACAGAAGGAGTTGCTCATTCATCTATTTGCTCCAAGAAGCTCAGACGTCATCAGTAATCAAAGAGGAGGCTGTGTTTTTGTTTTTTGTGATTTCTTTGTATTTCTTTAAACCAATCTCAAGCAGCGCTAAGCCCAGGATGCAGCAATTGTGCCCCTTCAAAACAGAGGAAATGTTTAGGTGGAACAGTCTTTAAAACAGCTATTTCACATTTAAAAAAAAAAAAAAAACAAAAACAAGTAGACCTGTTTTTTTGGTGAGTAAGCTGTGGCTGGGAGCTTGTTGTTGTTTTTTTTGGTGGTGAAGGGGATTGTTAAACACAGTAACACAACAGAACAGGAGAACAATGCTTTGTGAAAGGACAGGATTTTACTCAACAGTCTACATCTGGTGAGTCAGACTAGTTAGTGCCAAAAGCTCATGACCACGGGTAAAAGACAGACCAGTAAATTCACTGGTGAAGTCTCACCGGAGCAGTGCAAAGACATGTCTTCATTTTCTGCTGATGAGTGCGAATTCAGCAGCCTTGACTGCAGGATCAAACCTTATGACGAATGACTGAAGGAGCTTTTTCTCTCTTAATACCTAACTGATAGACAGCATGCTGCAGCTTGACCTTGAGCTACAGACTAAACTCAAGAGGCTGAGCGATTTGATGCTTCTGGCATTTTCACTGCAAAGACATGATGATGTGCTCTAAAACATGATCTTGGCGATTTGGTTCACGTGGGATTAACTGTGCGAACAGCAAAACTGAACTGCAAACATTTTGTCCTCTCGAACAAAGCTCAAGATTTCTGTTGATTCTAGTAAGTCCGGACAAATAAATGGCTATTCAGGATTTAAGTGACAGCAACAGTCTGATGTGGATTTTACAAGGCCTATTATTAACAGGGGTTGGTAGGACAGCCCTGAACTTTCCTAACCACTGTTGAGGAAGCTGCAGGAGGTGCCAGAGTGCTACCCCTCAAACAGAAAAGTTGATACACAGCCACATTAAAAATGCATCATCGCAACTTAGAGCCAAATAAAAAATGCATGGTCTAACAAAGAAGAAACGGAAAGGGGAAAGAGACAAGCCATGTCGCCTATTTAATCCTGGGATAGAAATGTATATCATGCCAACTTAAACCACAAAAGTTTGTGGTTTCTTTGCTGCCGTTAAACCACCACAGGTTTAGCAACTCGCAGCACAAATGTGTAACAACATGAACCCAGTAAAAGGCTCGTAAGCAAGGCTCCCCTGGAATGACTGCAGAGAGCTCTCTCAGCATAACAGCGCGGCAGCCTTGGGGAAAGGTGTGCGAAGGCAAGGTCACAGTGCATCATGGGAAAAACAAACCTGCAGACATTTTTAGACGGACGCTTAGTTGGTTGTCGAGGGTAAAAGACTTTCTGATTTAAAAAAGAAAAACAAAATAAAAAATAAAAAAAGACTTTTAACATAATGTAGTGGTTGTATGGATGTGAGCCAGTAGCAAACAGAGTGTACAGTGTATACAGGTTTTACGTGGTGAATAAATTAAACTCATTATTCATTATTTATATATGACCTTCATTAGGCTCTCCATTTTTCAAATGCACAAGCTCTTATCCACACACTGAAAGTCTAGTTCCGTCCACACTTGCATCATGTACATTACTGATCCATATTTCAAACAAGCTGTGTACTTTGCAGCAAGATAAGCTGTGCAGCATGAAGACAACGGGCAGCAGAAGTGTCTTAAATAGAGCAGCCTGCTGAAAGCTAATCACCTGAAGGCTCTGTTGCTTGGTCCTCCATTTGATGAGCAGATTCTTGTAGAGGAGACTTCTTGTTTGGTGCCAGACTCCAGCATCTCGCCTGTACACGGGCTGCATACTCCCTGCATTCCTCATCTGGATGACGTATGGGCGAGAGGTCGTCTCACTGATGCTGGCCTCAGCTGCAAATCAAACAAACGCCAGAGAACAAATTAAAAACTTCCATCCTGGACCGCACACAGCGTTGCACCACTGAGGCAACGTTAGTTACAGGGACAATATTTCTTGATTTAAATGATTCTGATTAGAGATTCCAGCTGTTTACATTGAGGCTAAATAAAGAAATTGAATTCATTCAAGAGAAGAAAAGGACCAAGATGGTCCCACATTGTGTCCTGGGAACACATTTTGCATTCTTCCTAATTAAGAGGCATCAGTCTCAGTGGCAAATAATTCTCCAGCAATTTCTAAACAAAGGAGTGCAAGAAGACTGTTCCAGCTCATAAGAAAAGGTAAACTCAGAGCTCCTTCCTCTGCCAAACACCAGGAACCAGTGGATCAAAGTCCGAAGCAAAGACTGGTGGGTGAGAGTTGTTCTCACAGAGTTTACTGATCGGTGAGTGGGAGTGGAACGTGGGGCAAACATGTGCAGAAAGAATATATTTAGTCCAAACCAGAAAAACAGGATCACTTTAAGCATTTAGATGGTTACTGAACAGATTGTCAAAAAGGTTTACAGTGTGATTGGGCCATTATTTCAATCATTAGTAGGATACTAGCATCCATGTAAATGCACTGACAAGAAAGGGTTGGTTGCTAAAAGAAATGTAGTGTCAGTTGTATGGGAATATTGTGGCTGCAGAAAGGATGATTTAAACCAAAAGCTGGTCAAAATGGGCCCAAAACACAACTAATTAGCTTGACTATTTAAACCAGCACCACAAAGATCTCAGTGATGTGTGCAAAGCCAGATCTGAAAGCCATCCAAACCAGAAAAGTCATTTTCATTGTTGATTAATAACAAAATGGTGAAAAACATCAACCACTGTTTCCCGAAGCAGAAGATGACATCTTTAAATGTCTTATTTATTATTATTATTCAGTTTACTGTCATAGAAGAGGAAAGAAACCAGAAAATATTCACATTAAAGAAGCTGGAATCTGAAGATTGAGATGCTGTCAGATTAGTTGCTGATGTATTTAGCTTAGCTGACACCTCATCCAGTACTTGTTGCAGCCCTATGTTGGATGTGTTACACCACATGAGCAGAGCTGACCAGCAGTTTGCATTCAAATGAAGTCTTCACAGTAAAAAGTCATTTTCTGATTATTTTAAAAATGTATTTTATATTTCTTATGCACATGCACTTCCCTACAAAATCCCCCCAGTCATTCTAGAATGATGAATTATTTCCGAACATGGTGAAAATGCCTGTTTTTTTTAAATTTTATTTTATTTTATTTATATCAGAGGCATAACATCGTAATATCAGTTTTCCCCCAAGTAATTTCTCCTTTACTGTCCCTCTTAACACTCACAGTTTTTCTACTTATCAAACTCTGTGTGCTTCTTAATGATGCCCTGTTCCTATTCCAAGGTAATAAATTATTCAGCTAACCATAAATATCGAATTAAATAGAAGTTAATGTCCACTTTAGATGTCTCTGCCTCAGGAGCAATTTGTGCTTCAGTACAACTTAGTGTAAACCCAATACATTAATCTGTGTTTTCTTAGTGTAGACCTTAAGGGTAACAAGGTGTCTGCGAGTATGCAGCTTTTTGTATATATCCAAGTCATATTATTCAGCCCTTATACTCTGTGTTTCTCTATGATACTATAAATATTTGTGTACTTTGGATTGCTGGTGTGATAAAGAAGCAATCAGCACATAACATGGATTATGATCATTATTTTCTGACCTTCTACAGGAAGTACCACTGACAATTAATAAATTACCATAAGGACAAATCAATAATCATTACAGCCCCAATTATGATGCATGGATTAAACTGCAAATGCACAAAAACAGTAGTGTTATCATGGATCACAGATAACCAACTGATAGGAATCCAGTGGCAGTGTTGGCAGCTGCACTATCAAACAATATACCTGCACATAGGTTCAGTAGATGAAACGCAGCATATTTGTGGTTTACCTTGTTTTGCTGAGCAGCTAGCTGGCATGATGTTACGAACTGGCGCTAACCCGCTGTTGGCAACGTTGACATTTCTGTTTGCTAACAAACTGTTCCCTTTGAATGCGAGCGGCTCTGTCTTCGCTGCTTTGTCCTCACGAATGAATGGAAACCAGAAAAGGTCCGACCAAGCTACGTACTCGAGGGCTGCCCTCAAAATTAGCCGCTACAAATGACAAAAAAATAAAAATAAAATGTTGTGTTTTGTGAGCTAACGCGCTGTATGGCAACAGTGTAGTGCGCACGAGCAACGCAAAGCAAAGCAAGCTAGCAGGCTACAGCAACACAGCCGACATCAATGGGGAAAACACGCAAGAGCTGAGAAAAGCAAGCATGCGGCATACTCACGTATGAAATACATTAAGGCATATCCTTCCTCGTTATGTATTTTAACGGCATCGCATCACAGGTGTTATCTTATGTCACGTAACCCCCCCTAGAAATGAGCTCGTTGTTTCTTGCGTCGCTACTTCCTCCTGTCAAAAACAGCTCCCACAAAATGTGACGCTGGCCAATCAGAGCCCGTCGTTGTGTGACTGACAGCCGTTTGCGCCAATCAGAGTGCAGCCGAATGTTTTTTTTATTTTTTATTTTCACAACACAAACTGAGCACATCGATAAACGTATAAACCCAACAAACGCCGCTTGTTTGGGGATTTATTGACTTAAAAATAAAAAGTAACGGCGACTGTATTCAAAAAATATATAGTTTTATTAAATTAGGCCATTAATGTTACTGGCCGGCATCACAGGTCTTTGCAGATACCGTAGGTATAACACAATTACGACTGCAACTTACTATAATTTCAATGTCAACTACTTTCTGCAGTTGTTTCTGACCAAACCCAATGACACTCAGTTTATTGTCACAGAGAACCTGGAATCAAACAATTTAGTATTTTTATCTTTAAAATTATCCAAGCCAATTAATCGATTGCTAAAATAGTTGTCATTTAATTACGTTCTCACCAGCTAATCATTTAATTGTTGCAGCTCTAAACACAATATGCAAATGAGTGAAAACGTTCCTGAAAAGGAAGAGATGAAGGTCGTATTTTAAATGTCTTTTATTTTTAAACCTTTCTGAGAAATGTGTATAAAATGATGCACAGAACTCATATATTTCCATCTGATGGAATGGTGCAACCAAAAAAAACATGGATTCTTGGATTTGAATATTACACACAGTGTAAACATCACATAGCCTCAACGAGACACTGTAACAGGCTAATAGAGCATATATACCGATCAGCCACAACAATAAAATGCACTAAAACCACAGCTCTGGACCCGATGGGTTATGGAAGCAGGACCTCTGGATCTGTGGTGTGCTGGAATGTTAGCAAGCAGCAGGTCCTGTTGGTCAGGGGTGTGACACCTCTGTGAATTAGGCCAGCACATTCTGCAGCTCTGGATGCTCAGATAAGGATCTGCGTACTTTGGACTCCTTGGGCAGTTTCTGAGCAGTTCTCAGGAACCCTTAGGGAACTCATGGCCTGTGCTTGGTCTGCAACGTTTAGGTGGGCGGTACATGCCGTAGTAACATTCACACGAATGCAGGACCCAAGATTGCCGGCAAAACATTGCCTTGTAGCCAGATTATCACCTGCCCTGTCAGTGGTTTTAATGTTGTGGTCGGGGTCGGTGTGTGTGAACCCCTCAAACAGTGTGAAACAAGATGATTTTAACAAAATTCAAAGGAGCATAACAGGAAAAGTGTTCGGGGTTATAGAACATGTCTGTGCTGATGTGCACTGCGGTGCTCCTGTATTCGATTTAGAATTGGTAATGGTGGTGAGTGTGTGTAGGAAGCTTCTGGGATGTCGCTGAACTTGAGGAAGTCATGCAGTGGGGTGGGCACAGGGAGCTGCTGGACTACGCTAGTCCTCATCAGGAGATCTGGTCCCAATGCCGCCCGAACCTGCAGCCGGCAGAGGTGGGAAAGACAGGGAACAGAGTCTAGAGGGAGGTGGAGAGAAAAGATCACTCGACTTAATAATTACTACACACACGTAAAATAAAATCTGAAGTGCGTATTTGTTTCTGTACCAAAATGCGGTCGTGGTTCCCAGGTTTTTTCTGCCCTCCTTCGGTCCAGAATATGTTTCAAATGAGGGGACAGAGTCGACCAATCTACAAACTCTAGCAGGTAATTCAACACCTCACTGTCTGCCTGCTCCAACCTAGACAGAATGGAGGACATAAAGAAAGTAATAACTGCTGATAATTGGTGGAAATGTAAAAGTGAGAGAGCCTTGATGGCTTATTGACAGCTTACATGTGGGGGTGAAGCAGTAAAGACGGTTCCAGTCCCGTCTTTAAAAGCAGAGAAAGCCAGCAGGCGGCAAAATGTACTTGGTTTAGTGCCACGCAGAGCAGTTCCCTCAGTTCTTGGAGCTTTAACACAGTTTTCCCATGATGGTGGGGTATAGAACAGTCAGTGGTCAAAGTCTCCGGTCGAGGAATCCATCTGTGCTCAAGCACAAGTTGCAGCAGGTCTGTTTTGTCAGTGGCCAAAGCATAAATCCAGTCGTCCTCGCTCAGGTTTGCTCCTGCAGCTACCAGCAATTTCACTGATTCACTGAAAAAGAGATTTACATCCATCTGGTGTATGTTGTAAATATGCATGAGAAAGTGAAATAAGTTTTCTCACAAACCTGTATGGTTTGTTAGATGTGCGGTCCAAGGCTAAGGAGAGCGGTGACCGGAGGCTCAGGGTGTGTGTGCAGTCCTGAGCATCAGGGCTGTAGCCTTCAGTCAGGAGCATCTCGATACTCTTGGTCTGATTGCTGTGGACGGCCACGTACAGCGGACTCACCATGCCATCACCCTGGTCACACACGCGATCTGTAACAGCTATCAGCCTCCGGAGAACACTGGAATGACAGAAATATAAAAAAAATTACACAGAATATCTGTTGTTAGTAAGTTATTAAACAGGAGATTAACTGGAAGTTCTGACTACTGGTCTATCATTTATCACATTTTGGTTCCAGACTGCTGAATATTCATAAGGCAATGAAAGAAAGAGCACAAAGTGTGATCAATAAGTTGCCAGTCTGTGCCTATAAAAAAGCAAAAACTGCATCTGATTTAAATTTGGCTGCCATCCACTTCAAAGTGTGTAGCAATACACCGCTTCCACGTTTGGAACACCCCCTGTTCTGTAGGCGCGTCGAGCACCATCTGTGATGAGCTAAATTTCCCAAACTGTGTCAAAGCAGCGACCTTTTCACTTGAATTTCATTTCGGGGACGAAGAAGAAGCTGCAGGAAGCCAAATATGGAGAGAAGGGCGGACAGAGACTGATGATTGTGTCGGTGCAGCCAAAAAAGTCACGTGTTTTAAGGCACGCTGTTATAATGGAGCACTCAGTTGTCATTCTGCCACAGTTCAGGCTAAATGTTCTCCTTCAGACACCTCAGGATATTACAGCAGAACTCTGCCTCGACAGCTGAACCCTGTGGGGGCACAAATTTACAGTTAAAAATCACGTTGATGTTGGAGAAAATGATGAGCATGTTCCCTGTGCACTCCTTATCTCACATGCCTCCTTCAGTCTTGGAGACTGTGGCTCTTCCACTGCAGACTCACCTCTCTTCACCAGTGATGATCCTGCACATGAAGGTTTTAATCACCACGGGCCTGCTGACGAAGGTTCTTGCAGACTTTGACATGTGGCTGCTTCTGTAGCTCCGTTGTGAAATAATAAACGTGCACTTGCAAGTCGTCACAAAAATATGCGTAACACAGGTCCAGATGTTCATCACTCGACATCACCCGGAATCCCAATTCAGGAGATTTCTGCTCACATCTGTTGCATGAATGGAGTGTGTTGCACAGAAACAGCGCCTAAACTTTTTGATCACACCTTGTACAATAATTAATCTGTAAGGAAACAATCACTGGTTGCAGCCTTGATATTGAAGCACTGAATGGACTGAATGTGAGAGTTCCATTGATCTGGGTCAACTGAATTTCAGTGATTGTTGCCAGCCTGAGCCTTAAAAATTACACAGATTCAGCAACCTTCAAAAGGTAATAATTAAACTCGAACAAAGAAATGACACACTGCAAAGGGTGGAAGTCACTGCCCAGCAATGCATCAACAAAAGACAGGTTATGAGTCAGTACCCGACGTGACCAAACTCAGCTGCTGCATGAATGGGAAGCTGGGGCCACTCGGGACTGCAGGCTTTGTTAGGATCGGCGCCATGGTCCAGCAGAAAATCCACACAAGCCTGGTGACCCTCCTGAGAGGAAATCAGCAGCGGTGTCGCCAGATCAGCTGCCTGGGTGTTCACATTGGCACCTAAAGTGAAGACAAAGTAAAACCCAATTTAATGTGTATTTTATTTTACTTGATGATTGGTTTAATCTCAGAATCCCAAAACCCACAGGTGGATGTAAAAGGCAGGGTATCTATAAATTGGTCAAAATTACCATATTTAATAAAGTCAGAAACTGTAAAATCAAAAAAAAGAACGTTGGATTTTCAACCGTCCAATGGCTCTTGAACTACACACTTGTCAAATGCTGTTCTGTCTAAAAACATAACCAAAGCACAGCTCATCAACAATTTCCCTGAGGTTTGCACCAAAGGGATCAATGAAGTTCTATTCTATTCTATAATCACAATATTTCATCAATCATCACTTTTATCTGCGTGTCTCATTTAAAAATTTCCCAAAAATGAAGTGTTTGCTCCACCCAGATACTGTAAAAAATTCAATAAATTCTATGCTCCCCGGTGCAACCACAAAGCCAACAATGACTCAGCTGTGACCAACAGCCATGAGACAGAAACTGATCGACTTTTCAGCTCTACTGGGCTGAACTGCAGGCTGTGTTTACACAAAGCAGATAAGAGCTTGAAAAACAAATCAAAAAGGTAAGTAATGAAATATCCATACTGTGTAGAGTCATTTATTGACAACACCTGTGAGCATTTGGAAAATCGTTACAGATGTTGATACCAGGTTTTTTCAATTTTGATAAAATAAATAATTGAAGAAAGTCACCTTGGAGGTTTTTTTAAAAAATCATTCTCTGTCATTCTAACTGTGTCACACAGCACACAAGACATTTCTGAGTTCTCTCTCCTTCTTCATGAATGTGCTTTTTCCGTAGAGGTGCAGGACTTTATGTTGTGTTGGAAAATGAGCCCACAGTGAGTAAAACTGTGACAGGAGCAAAAAAAATAATAATTTCTTGGAATGCAGAGGGTTAAGAGAGGAGTGAAAAGAAGAGGCAGATAGAAAAGCCCCTGATCAATAGGAAATCAAGCACACACACAAAGTCATAAAGAAAAACTGCTATTTACCGGCATTAACGAGTATTTCCAGACATTCTCTTCGTCCGTACTGTGCAGCTACAAACAGCGGCGAGATCTTGTGGTCATCTAGTGCCTCCAGGTTGCAAACATTCACAAGAATGCGCACAATTTCACTGTGACCCTACAGGAGAGATGGCATAATTATTTCTAGTTCTGATCCACCTCACAGAGGTGTGTGTGCATCTGGGAAATTCATTATTACCTTATAAACGGCTTGATGAAGGCAGGTCCAGCAGGACGCGGTGTGTGCTCTGTTCACCTCGGCACCTTTACCGACCAGCAGCTCCACAACTTCCCCGTGTCCGCTGTCGACAGCTGGAGGCAAACAAATTTAACTTTACTATCCAAAACAGGAAATGTATTCAGTAAGAAATGCCTACAACTGTATGAAAAGGTAACGGGAGAGACAATATGTTAATGCAAAGCTGATAATGTGCAAACCTGCATATAAAGGACAGGACAAGTCATTAGTTAGCTGGTTGATGTTGGCGTGTACTTTCAGGAGGAGTCGGACCACTGCCAGGTGTCCACGCTGCGCTGCCAGGTAACATGCAGATTCCCCTTCATGTGTCAAAGAGTTCACATAGGCTCGGCTGCTGCTGCTGCTAGAGGAGCCTGCTGTGTACGGAGAGAAATGGAAAAGGAGAAATAAAAAGGTAAATAAAATGCACATTTGACTTTCAAACCTGAGCTGAAGGAAATGACTGATTCAGCGATTAGTCTGTCACAACAAATTTGAGAGCTGTTTAGGTCATTCATCAAGGAAAGCTGTGAAACATTGCCAGTTTGGAAGGTGAAATAAGAGACTGTGTGAAAAAAAGAACAAATAGAAAAAAACTGCAGACAGAGACTGACCTCAACTATATCCAAGATCTGTGGCAATGATGCTCGTGATTATATATTGCAATGTTTACAAGTTTATTTTACTCTAATGCAAGTGAACACTGTTTTCTAATGTTTGTATAAAACACTGACACAGTATCTTTATTCTCAGCCCCCATGGGGGAGAGTGATTGGCATTTGGCTTGGGTTAGATATTGTTTAAGCTCACATCTGCTGCCAGAACTAAAACTTAACATAACACTTGATCTGGAAACCCTGATTTGGACCAAGCACTGACAGTCATTCTTCTTTGCATGAGGGCTGAATAAAGGTTGACTATGTGGGCTGTCATTGGGCCACATCTAATTTTCTATCAAGGTGTTCCATTTCTTTGTACCACTTACGTAAAGGTACTTAAGAAAGGCTCTCCCCTGCCACCTTCTAAGCGTGAAACTCTGATTTGTATAATACTTTTTCTTACCACCGACAGCAGACAGAATCTCCTGCACACACTCTTTGCTGCCAGCTGCCGCCGCCTCGTGCAGGGCATTCCAGCCGCGGTTGTCTCGGCAGTCAACGCTGCAGCCTCTCTTTATCAGCCTCCTCACCTGCTTCCTACAGCCTGAACGAGCTGCAGCAGCAACACTGGACACTGTGTCTCCGTAGCACTCTGTGAAGTCCATCCCCTGTTAGACACAGTCAGAGACATTAATAATGCCATTGTTTATATACAAAGTGACTGAGAAATTGCAGTTATAATAAAGGATTAATTTTAATTAACAGTGGTTAAACTGGGAAGGAGCTCACTTGAGCTGACCTCTGCCTTCTTAACTCCAAATCACCTCTGTCTCCTCTAGCATTACAGCACCACTAATTTGTATCTAAGTCTTGAATTTCAGACTCTTTGTGTTGCACTGAACAAATGCATGTAAAATGTCACATAAAATGGACGTCATTATGCAAAATTTGCACAGGTGGTACAGCAGCAGCAGCATCACTGGCTATGTCAATATATTCTGATGTGTCATTGTTTTCTGACATATCCTTATTGACCTAAATGTTTTTCTACAAGCAAACAACTGATGAGTTGCACAGATTCACAGTTTCTACATTGAAATCTCTGGATCGAGCTCAGGATGAATCAGCAGCATCACAGCTGTACATACATTTTTATTTTTAGCAAATATTGTTTATTCTGGACATTTCTTGTCAGATAAGTAAAGTTGGATTATTATACAGAGTTTTAAGTTTTAAAGCATGAATGCAGTACTAGTTGCAGTAGTGGCATTGCTGCATGGACACAGCGGTTTCATGGCTAAAATAAATTAAGTGAAGGTAACATACAGTCTTAACAATGAAAACACAATTGATTATTATCAGCCTATAAGTTACTGCACATAGTTTGGTTGGGTCAGTGCAAAGACATCTATTCTATGTATGAAAAGAATGTTTCTTGAACCATAAATTAATTGCAAATAATAATAATAATAACAATGATGCCAAAAAAAAAAGTCCTCCTCAGTCGATATAATTGAGATCTTGTGTTATTGTTCTTTGGTATTTTACGGAGTTTCTGGTTAATCTTTTACTTCAAATTCATGAAACATGTTTTCATCATTCAACAAAAACAAAACAAAAATGAGAGCACACAGGCTTCTCCCACGGGGAATCTCGCTATTTACATTCTATTAAATTTCAAGTATCTGACTCTAAAAATGCCACCAATACAGTGGAGGTAAAAAATAAATAAACACAAAAATTAAATTTAGTTTGTGGTGCAACAATTTCAAAATAACATTGAGAAAATTCAGCTGCCACACATCTTTCTTGTTACAAACAGAAATCCAAATATACAGAACAAAAAATACGCAGTTTAAACTAATTTCAACGTAATAAATCGTTCCAGCTGTGACCTGTGACCAAAACCTTACGAATCGCAATTTAACTGAAAAAAAAAAAGACTCAAAACATCAAAACACAACTTCAGCCACCAAGCTAACGCTGCTGCCCAACTACGTTGCTACAAACCATAATAATACAGCTGGCAAATGACGTTTCCCAATGCTATAAAACATACACACGACTCTACAAAACACCACGTGGTTATTTTAAATAAATATTCAACGGTATGTTACTGATTTAACTGAAATAAACGTGTATTTTTACCCATAAGAAGCTGCTTCAGCCTCGACTGTCATCCCGTCAGTCGCCGCTTGATGACGTCACACCACAACAACCCACGGTCCGTCGCGTGTCAGCTGTAGTCCGCTGCCTTGGATTTAGCATCAGCTAAACCGGGTTGAAATCCGCCGTTTTATCATCGTTTTGTCGCTGTAAATCGAGTTAAATTATATATCTATAATTTTTAAATTACGTGCGAAGAAATGGGAGGGAGGAAAATCTGAAATCAACGGATTCAGCTGCAGCAGTTTGAAGGTAAATGTGCCTTATTGCTTCATGTTAGCAAGCTACTACATGTTGTACCTAATACTGTAACTGCTGGTGGAGCACACATTTGTTTTACATCTGTTGAAATTGATAATGATATAAAAATGTGCTAGTGAAAGCATCTTCAAATCTCGCAGCTGCCAATGGCTTCCATTAATTTAAATGAGGAGAGTAAAAGACAATAATGAGGTTACTATAAGGTTATTATAAGGTTAACCTCACTGACATTTCAGATGCAGTTATTAATTGACAGATTCAATGAATTAATTCAAATGATAAAAATGTTAAATGCACTAACTAACTCGCCTGTTTGCAGACAGCCATGTGTCCTGATTTGTTTTCTAAATTCTTTTCATTTCACCTGATTTCCATGCTTTTCCCAATTTGTCTTTAATCATATCTCTTGTCCAGCAGTGGAGGAATATTCAGATCCTTTACTTAAGTGAAAGTTCCAATACAGCAAAGTAAAAGTACTTAATTACAGGTAAATGACCTGCATGAAAGGCCGTACTTAGGTAAAAGTACACAGCAACAAAATAGTGAAACGTTATTGTGTCAGCAGCATCTTACTGTTGTACCTGCAGATTAGTCTGAGGGCTCCAGACATGACTAATTGCAAAAGAAAGAAGAAAAAAGTTTTATTCCATAAATCAGTTTTGACTTTTTCTTTAATGTGATTTTAATTTGATTTTTGATGAGATACTGGATCACTTCATTAAAATGACACCATGTCAGGAGCACTATTTGGTGGAGTGGTTAACAGCTCGTAGACATCTGAAGTGTGAGTCTGACTACACATTGCTTCTTGTCAGAAGTCAATTTTTTTTTCTATATTATATTAAAAACGGTTTTTTTAACATATTGTGTAAATTCTACATCATAAAGAAAGCTGTCAGATAAATGTAGTGAAGTAGAATGTACAGTTTATCCCTCTGAAATGTGGTGGCGTGGAGGGAGCAGCAAAAACAATGGAAATACTCGACTTGAATACTTTCTACTTAAGCCTTAATTTGTTTTCTCCTTCATCTTCTAGCTTCTCACCTCAGAAGGTTACAGCCTCTGTGGCGGCATCGCCAAATGGTGGACATCGGTGTGAAAAGCGAAGCTGCCTGGGTTTGCCACACTGAAGGACGTCACTTGACGGACGTCCTGCTTCCTGTTCACATCAGTGACAAAGATGAGGATGAAGAGGAGCTCAGACAGGAGACAAACCAGTAAGAAACATGGAACTTACCATCGTATATGTCAGCTGGTGACTCCAACATGGGGTTCATGAGCACGAGTTAACCGTGCTTGTAATGTGGGCAAGCAACCCTCACCACCTTTTTTATTCGCAAAAGAGGCAAAGATGAGTGAATTTTCCATTTTTGAGTGAATGCCATATTCCCCACCTGTCTTCCCCTCACAGTGGAGGTCCAGTGCTGCTGCAGCAGATGGAGGAAGGTTCTCCATGTGTCCTGACGCTCCACTGCAGCTCCTCCTCTGCTGCCATCAGCCGCCTGCTGGTCATCAGCGAGGCTCGAACCCTGGAGGTGTACGACCAGACGGGAGAATACTGCGGCACGGTGAGGGGGGTAAAGGAGGACGGCATCCAACCAGACAGGTAAACACACCAACGATGGATTACCGAAGTTGTCAGAGCTGTGCAGAGCTGAATTGTAATTCCAACAGGTCCTTCCTCCTCTGTCTTCTGGCTCCTCTTTTGTAGAGGGAAAATCTATTTTCAAGACCTCATTGTTTAATTTAAAATTGCTTCTGTTTTCTCATTGTCAAGTATTTTAAACACAAAACGTCAGGTAAGGCTATAATAGTTAATGTTGTGAGCGTTATAAGAACGCAACCAACCATTATTTTCATTATCAACACAGCTGAGAGTCACTGTTCAGCCAAGAAATTGTCAGAAAATAGCAGATAAACAACGTATTCAAATTGCTTTTTTAACTAACAGTCCAAAACCCAGAAAATATTAATGTTTTTTTTATAGTGACTTAAAAATGTGGAGACTGGAAAGTATTCACATTTAAGAACAAATTTTTGTCATTCTTACATAACAAACTAGAACCATACAATACTCGTCAAAATTGTGCAAATTTGTTTACAATATAGGATCAACAACAAATTTTCTCTTTAGTGACCCTCAGCAGGTTAATCCAGCCTAGATGCACACATTTATCATCACTTTTATATGTTCTTTTATTAAAAAATGCACTAAAGAAGCTGCCAGTCATCAATACCTGCTTAGTTAATTCAGACTCTTTTTGTTATTTTTATTATAATTTTAGACTGTAAATTACGACACAGTTGTGGATTTGGGTTTCTTTATCGCAACATAACAAAGCAGACGTAACCTGACTGGTTTCATGAGCCTCAAGAAGAGCCTTCAAAGCTATGCCTTCCATTTGTGTAGGTGCTTCACTTAAGGTTAAAATACTTTTAAAACCTTGTAACGTCTGCAGTCAGAATCATTAAAGTTTGGTAATTCTAAAAAGTTAAACTAACTTATGACAGAAAATGTACTGTTTTAAAAATATATGCATGTGATGACTAAAAGATCACGTGAATCTAAAACAGCAGCGTTTAGTGTCATCAGGATGAAGCCAGAGGTGGAGCCTGGCAACATCTGGAGATTAATCATAGTCAAGAACGTTTGTTTTCATGCCATTTTTCTCTGTTTGGCCACATGTACTGTTGAATACAGGCTTTAAAAATAACATAAAAACCATTATAACGTGGGTGCATTTGACTAATTTTTGGTGACGTTCTGATGAAGTTTTAAAGTTGTGCATTTTTCTCCTATTTTTGTGGCTCACAGTGCAGACAGAGGGCCTTTCTATAGGAAACAGCTGATCCTTGAGCATCCATCCTCAGCCTGTGAAGTGAAGGTGAGAACTCAGTCGGAGAAAACAGTGCACTATAAAACTATAAACCTGTATGGACTGAACTCTGTTTCTACACATCCCTGTTTTGGTTTTAATGAGCTGCTCCTGTCTCCCAGCTGCTCTCTCTGGCTGGTAGAAACAGTGTTTTGGTGTGTCGAGTCGTCGTGGGCCTTCAGTCGCTGCAGCCCGGCCCGGCTCGTGGCCCCGGCATCGACATGCAGCAGGTCCAGTGTCTGGTCGAGGAGATGGGAACGAACCTTTCACCGGGGGCCCAGAACCTCATGGACATGGTGCAGTTTCAGCAGAAGGTGAGAGAAAAGCAGCCAGGAGTTTCCTTTATTTGAAAACTCTCTGTTTCTGTGTGTTTATCAAGTCTCTGACATTTGAGATGGGGGAGTTTTCCGCTGAACATTCACATTAATCACGATGTTTTCAATCATCAGGTCTTCTGGGTTTGAGTTTGTGAGCTTCAGTGCAGCTCATTTATGTCACTCTTTGGCATCAGACTTCAGATTTGAATGATGGCGTTTCCTGGAACTTGACGGGGACTTTCAGCTTCTCTCAGTGTTCAGACACAAAAAAATTCAACAACAAGCTGCGTTAACTCTCCAAAGCCCAGGCACTTTCTGGGCGTTGTTTGCTCCTGTCACATTATTATTCATTGTGGGCTCATGTTTTAATTTTTTTTAACTGCAATGTTAAGTCGTGGACCTCCATGGAAACAGAACCACCATGAAGAAGGAGAGAGAACTCAGAAGTGTGTTTTGTTCAGTGTGACAGTTATAATGCCATAAATCATAAAAAAAGAAAAACAAAAGGTGAATTTTTAGTTTTTTTTTTTCTTTTTTGTGTGAAATTAAAAAACCTGGAATCAATGAAAGCAGCGTTTTCCCAAATGCCCACAGGTATTATGAGTACTAGAAAAAAATAGTGTCTACATACAATATATTTAATTTGTTTTTGTATTTGCCATACACTCTGCTTTGTGAAAGTTTCAGCCAAAAAAATCTCTCTTTTATTTTTTCTTGGTTAATCAGTCGTGGCTCCTCAGTTGTGCTTGTCTGTGCAGAATCTCCAGTTTATTATAGGCTCTAGTTACACCAAATGGTTTATATTTTTAGCAAATTCTTAAATGAAACCGTTTGTTTCTGGCTCTGATAAATGGTGTAATTTTTGCATTTCTTTTAAAATAACATGCGATTCAAAGGGTTATCATCCACTGGTATGTGTTTCTGCAGAATCAGACCGGCTCTCTGGGCGGTTTCCTGCCTCTCCTGATGGGCGGCGGAGGCTTCGCTGCTTTGGCAAGAGGAGTCAACGTGTCGACAGCAGCCGCCATCAGTCAACCTGCAGACTCCTCGGTACTGCATCGTTTACTCGTTAAAAAAGATCCTGAAAGATAGTTCTGAAATGTCTGTGACCATTTTGCAGATTATTTTTACTCAGTGTGACTAAATAGTGAAAGCAAAGGTTCTTTGTAAAGCACATTTCAACACCAAGGCAATTCAGAGTGCCTTAAATACAACATAAGAAGATAAAAGGAACTAAAGCAATATAAAAAAAAAAGATATTTCAACACAATTAAAAGAGTATTTTAAGGTGAAAAGTTATAAAACAGTTGAAAATATTCATTATTTAATGAAAGACACAGACTAACAGAAAGGTCTCTCGTCTTGATTTGATTGATAATTGATTGAACAGAGTGGACAAAAGTCATAGAAAAAAAACAGCAAACAGATTACATTTATAGTTGTCTCGCTGATGTTTATTCGTGTTGATTCGAGCATAAACAAGTTGGAGAAACCATTCAAGCAAGCAAAAAGTCAGTGGAACAGCACTGAGTAGGAACCCTAATTTTATAGATGTCTTTTTGCTGTTTATTAATAGTTTTCATGACCCATACATACGTGTGACGAAACTGTTTAAACACACGGGAAGTCAGGTGGTTAAAGAAAGCTTCTGTTTTTTGTTTTTTGTTTTTGTCACCAGCCCTCAGATGGCTCCATCACTCCTGCAAACGGAGCTCCAACACTTCAGAACGGTCGGATGTCTGAGAGCTCCACCCCCTCCTCGTCTCCAGACCTGCCGCTGCCCAGCGACAACGCGAATAATAACAGTACGGATTTTAATTTCTCTCTGGTTTGAATCAGAACGCTCATTGAAATCAACATTGTGTGGAATCAGTGTTTTAAAAAGCTTTTGTTTTGAAGGATTTCCTGTTTGGAGGAAGAATATCCTTAATGTTATGTAAATACCAAAGAGACAACAGCAGTTTGTGACACGCACATGTCAGTGCATTTTAAATGGTTCCCTTCTTAGTTGTCACTCAGGATTTAGTGACCAAACCTGAATTTTGAAACCTAATAGATAGATAGATAGATAGATGGATAGATAGATAGATAGATAGATAGATAGATAGATAGATAGATAGATAGATAGATAGATACCACCATAAATACAGATAAATAGGCAAAAATAAACTATAACAAAATATATATGTAATTTTGTGAAGCAGAAACAATCTGGAGTGAAAACCTCTAGATAAAGGTTGAGGGGTGAGGACATTGGGTGGGATGGAGCATCGTGCTCTATCACCAGACTGTGCAATGTGTTACATGTATCTGTATATTGTATACTGAATTTGAATGCTGACTTGGTTTGAATTTTGATTTGGATTTGATTTGATTTGAATTTTGGTGTTTTTTGGTGTAACAATTTCAACAATATTGAATTTCCCTTCTGGGATAAATAAAGTATTTTTCATTCATTTTCATTCCCTGAGGTCTTGTACCGAAGAGATTAAGAAAGTTTTATTCTATTCTTCTAATTCTAAACTCTGTCTCCTGTCTGCAGGCGGCGGTGACAACGGCGGCCCGTTTAGCCACGCCCAGCTGGCGGACATGATGTCACACTTCCTGACGGGGCAGGGTCACGGCCGGATGTTGACCTCCGACCCCGATCTTCTGCCGATGCTCCAGAGCGTCTGCGGCCAGGTGACCCAGCTGAGGCTGGATGATGCCGCAGCGGAGAAGAAGCTGAGAAACGGCAGCTGGTGAGTCCGTCCTGCTGACCAGCAGTGATCCACTTTATGATGACAGAACTCGTGTTTCTGCTTCATGTTGCTGCTGCAGCTATGATTCAAACTGAGCAGATTCTTCTGGTTTAGCTGATAATGTCAGTCGACCTCTAGAGCTTCTGATGTACACCTGGTCCTGTTAGTCTACACTGAGCTGCGTGTTGTAATCAGATGAAGTGGCTCCACCTGGTGTCAGAAAAATGTTACTGCTTGAATCCTGTAAATAAACACTGAGCTAGCTGAGGCTAACAAACAGCTATTTATATATAAATGCACTGATTTAAAATGATAAACTATTCTTATAACTACTATTATACAACAATTCTATGGATAGCATTGTCCTATAATCATTTGTTTGATATATTAATGAATTATTCAAAGAGAAGAGAAAACAAAAATGTTTTCTACCATGTAAAGCAATTACAAAGTGAGATATAGAGCAACACTTGATCTGGGTTCACTCTCAGTGTCCTATTGTAGCTCAGTCTTGTGTTGGTGATTAATAACAATCTTTAAACAAACATCAAATTAAGCTTAGATGGGCTGCTTTAGCCAGAAATTAACTCCAATTTAAAGCAGCTTGGGGAAAACTACATCTGGCTTCAGCTGCTGAAGTTTGCTATGCTTCTTATTTCGCTGTCGTTCCATGATTTGTAGCGTATTTAGGGTTTTGCATCCGTTAATTTTGGAGTGAGACCTGTTCCCACAGGGATTCATAGAACACATGACGTATGCAGACTGTTTCCACCATAATGACCAGGTGTGTAAGCAGCACATGTGTATGCGCCATGGAGATGCGCCTCAAACATAAAAATAGATCAGCCTTTATCTTTTTTACACAAGGTGGGCATGATGGGGGTTTTTTACACAAAAATGGATAATTAAGTGTCCATATATCATCTATTCATTTGCTATATACCAGCACAGGACGTGCAAACTCTACACAGAACACCAACACAGAGATTCAAACCTTCTCGCTGTGGAGCAACGGTGCTAAACTCTGCACAGCTGTGATGCCCATAAAGAGTCCATATTCTGTTAAATTGAATTACCGGTATACAAGGAATGACTGCCTTTGCATCAAACAGGGCTTCCACTGTGGGGTTTTGATCACAGGTCTGTGTTTATTGGCCTGTTCCAGCAGGGGGATGCCTTGTAAATGTCTCACTTACAGAGTCTGCTGCAGTCTATGCATGTCAACTTACACATGTTACACAAACTTCATAGAAAGGTTTACCAGCTGTACTGGGTCCAGAAACTGAAGCTCCCTCTTGTGTTTCACCTGTGTGTGTAATGTAGGTGTAGCCGGTACAACGCTCCACGAGCAGTCAGGTACAAGTTCACTGCAGCCAAAGTGTATTCAGCACACTTTTACTTGTGTTTGCTCACAGCATCACAATCAGCATGAGTCTCAGAAAACACTAAAAATTCTGTGTTGTTCAGTATCAAACCTGCTCCATACTCAGCAGGTGAACTCCATATGAGAGCTTGCAACTATTTTTTTTTTATCTTGTCTTCAAAATATGCCGTAGAGACAATGAGCATTTTTGTGCGCTTATGGCAGCCATGCCATTGTTGCTCCGTCACGTAGCCGAGGAGGTCCAAACAGAGACCCGATTATTTAACGGAACAACAGTTGTGATTGTCTGAGGTCACATTATTAGCTGATTGCGTTTTGCTGCTGACAGTGAGCAGACGCCCAAACGTTTCCTACTGCTTCATGATAAAACATTCCCTGACAGCATAGATTTCTGTCATATCATCTGTCGGGGTGAAGTCTCAGTCCCCGGTGCGGTCATGCTGCTTTCCACAAAACATTACGGTAACATTTCTGCTCGACTAGAAAGAGAGATTTGGGTTTGGTCGGTGGTTGTGCAGGGACAGTAGAGTTCATTTATCAGCTCTGTTGTCGCTATGAAGCAATAAAATGTTGCTAAATTGCAGCAAATCAAACTGGAAAAGTGTGTATTCAATGCCAACAGGCACCTGTTAAATAAATCTCCAGCTGCGACTAGATTCCCTGTGCGGTTGAAAAATGTAGTTCTGAGCTGATGCCACAGGCTGCAGCTGAATAAATCAGAGTCTTTGTCAGAGCTGAGCAGCACATGTGGGCTGATAGATGGTCAGCTGAGTCTGACTCCACATCGCGCAGAGGACGGCAGCTCAACGGTACGTCTGCACCACAACTCATCTTAGTCTGAGTCAGATTCCAGAAAACTGGGGAAAGTTGATATGAGCTCTTATGTAATAATTGGTACCAGAAAATCCAAAGGAAACTATGCAGCCTGCTTCGATCTGTGCTCCATTTGTAGATGCTGATAGTGTTTACTTTAATGTTGCGTATTTTTTCCTGACCCCTGACCTGTTTTTCTGTCTCATAAACTGCTTTTTGACAGACCGAGAGAGAAAGTCATTGTTTTCAGCCGTGTGTCGCAGGAGGAACTGATCATATTTGTGGTGGAAACAGCTCGACTTTAATTTGCGATGGAGAAACTGTGAGGTTTATGGTCTATTGATTGGCTCAAAACTGTCCCGTAGTTGTGCTACGTTCTCACTTTCAGAGACATTCTGGACTTGTCTGTGGTGCTTTTTGTGTGTTGGTGAATGTAAGTTAGACAGTTTCACCATAATAAGTACTTGTTTCAAGCCTATAAAGTTAACCACAATACCCAGAGGCTAACTCAGAATTAAGTGTTCATAGCTACACCTAGTTACTCACAAGAAAGGAGGGGAACATGGCTCATAATTTGTGGTTGAGCAGAGAGAAGGGAAAGACTTCTTGAAGACCACAGTAACACTATCTGAGCTTCATCCTCTGAGTGCTGCACTGTTTGAATTTAGGCTTCATAGTGAACAGAAAGAGGAACTTTGCAGATATTCTTCTTCCACTAACATGATCTCATGGGGAAACAGATGGAAACTAAACGGAGACAGTGGAGCAACAAGTTAACGTTAGCCTCAAAGGCTAGCATGTTTAGCTTGGCAACAGCATCTTTGGGTGTTTGTGTAATAATTAGAAATATCCTGATTTTAACTCGTGGCTGTGTTTGATATGATCGTTGCGGCCTCGATGAATCTGTGATCAGTTCAGGAGGTTTCAGACCAGATCTGTAAACATCGGTTCAGACCAAGACCCCAGAACCGGTTTCTCCTCCAATTGTCGGGAAGGTGTAAAGCAGAGGGGCACATAGATGTCATTTTAAGAAATATTAATCAGGTAATTTAACTTATTTTGATGGAAAAACCACTCAAACACCAGTTATTAGTCAAAGAAGACTCTTTTTGCATGTCTTTAAACATATCTAGAACAGATGTGAGCATTTTCCTTTTAACCATTTTATGAGCCAAAACCTTATTTAACAAGACTGGTTAAAAAAAACATAACAAAACAGAAGAAAACAAAAAAACCCTCTCATTTTCATTTTTATTCTCAGTTCTTATCATTTTGTTGCTGGAGATTTTCCTTTGGAGCTGGCTAAGCACTCACATTACCAAATCATTTGGATTGACATTGGCCGAGATCCCAGACCAGATTCGTCTTCCGATTGTTGGGAGCGCTGAAACTGGGATACAACGGCCAAAAATTCCTGCAGCCCAGAATTTATAACCAACTAGTCCTCTAGTGTAGACCTAAAAAAAAACATTGCATAAGATTTGGAGGTCTAACTAAATAAGGAAACCTACTCTTAGGGTTTCCTGCAGGGCAGTTTTAAAGCTCAGTGTGGTGGCATCGGCCATCTTGCTGGTGCCTGGCTGCTCCTAAGTCTTGGCTAAAGTGACCTCTAAGCAATTAACTGTCCTGTAATGGCACCCATCTGTCACTCAAAGCGGCCAATCCCTTCATTATGTGTAACTTTGAGTTGTAATACAATTCAAACAGGTGACTTTTATTAAAAATCACTCTGGTACAGTCGTCGTATATGTAGCGAATTAGCTATAGAGACCAAAAATGCTTCTCGTCACAAGGTGTAAACATGTTTATTTCTGCTTTAAAGTTGGACATTTTACCATTAACATCAATAGGCTTTGACTCGTTTTTTAAGGCAGCCTCAAGTGGACATTCATGGAACTGCAGTTTTATTTTTTTATTTTTTTAGCCCCTTTAAGTCCATTTTTGTGAAACCTGTCCCTGGGCTACTGAGGTCAATGCATCTTTCCTAATCTTGCTTCTTTGGTTGCTGAAACTGGTCTATGTTTGACCACCAAATTCCAAACCAAAGACAAAAATTTATCAAGTCTGTTATTCGATGTGTTGATGTTCTGTAACGTAGGAGATTTCTCCTGCAACGCTCATAGCTGAGCAGACAGGCAGCAAAGATCAGGGGTGAACATCTCTGGAGACGAGCCACGATGTGAAAAACTGGGCAGCAGCAGTCTGGATTTTCCCCAGTGGAGTGGTATGATTCACTGGAGTATTTCTTCAAAATCCTTGAGGGTAAAGAGTAATGCTGCTGGAATCTGCTGAGAAACCCAAAATGCTAAGACGTGCAAAAACACTGGAAATGTTTGAGGCGTCTCAGTTAAAAAGATTCCTCCAGGTGGTCAAGCTGAAACAAACCCAGCGTCAGCTGTCGGAAAGGAAATCTGCTTGAGTAAGATTAACACAGAAGGATCTGGAGGAAGATGATGGTCAGCGCTGGCTGTGGGTGGTTCAGGTTGAGACTCGGTTCTTGTTTGAGGTTTTCATGTCTCTCAGCTCACCTCTCTGCCTCCTCCTCAATGAGCCTTTCAGTTTTCAGTGAGTAATACAAAATCACAGTACAGTTATTATTGCATCCAGCAGAAGCATTAACTTGTGGTAGCAGGTCTTGGTGGAAAAATGCAGCAGCATGTGGCATTCGTGTTCAGACAGGGCTTCCTGTGAGTGGTCGGATTAAAGATGACTTATTAGACGTGAGATTTGATGAGTAATAATCACGAGACAGCTTAATCAGGTCCATTTTTTATATCGAAAATATTCTGCAATGGAAGAATGGCAACTACAGATTGTGTTTTTAGTGTTATGATGCGTTAAACAGAACAGATTAAAAGTGTTTGTATGTGGCTGTACGTAAATATGATTTAGATGTAGCTACACACAAATATTCAATTTAGCAAAGTTTGACATGCATGTGAAAACATTGTTAGATAGACATGATGATATTAGAAAAAAACACGATTAAAAAGAGTCAGTCCTTGCAGAAATTGCTATTAAACAGCAGTATGTGGCCAAAACAGCCTGGAGAAGCTGTTTTGAAGGAGGCACAAATACAATTTTAACCCAGTAATCCCACTTTTTTAATTGAATCAGACACAAATTATTACACAAAGAAGACTCCTTTTTTATGTGTCTTTTGTTTTGTGGCCGTACCTCAGTCACTTTTCCTTTTTTGTAACCAAGTATTTCACAATAAGAAGTCTTTTGTATGTTTTATTTTGTATTGACATGCACTAGTTGACTTTTCCATAATCATTTTTTTTTCTTAATGTGCGCTCAGAGTTGGGACTTTTCATTAATATTTTTAAACATTAGACATTATTTGATCCACTTGTTCATATTGCAGTTTCTGAATCATCGACATGATGAGAAATAACGGTGAAAACGTCACGCTTTTATCCTGAATCATTCCTTAAATGTTGTCATTCAAACACAGCCTCGTTTAAGAAGATTCATCTGACCATTTTAAATATTCAAAGTTCATGATAAAAAAAAAAAAAAAAAAGCGAAGGCCCCTGATGATTTAAGATGGAATTCCTTCTCATAAACCATCTGCAGTTTGGTGCAGCTCTCTCAACTAAATGTCCTTTTTCCTCGGCTCTGCAGGGAGTTGGATGCAGCCATGGAGCGCCGTCTGGACGAGATGGAGCGACGGCTGAAGGAGCACATGGACCGACGGCTGGACGCTCTGGAGCAGAAGCTGGAGAAGGTCCTGCTCAGTGCCTTGCCGCTGGTCGCCCTGAACCACGGGGCCGGAGGAGCAGCGTCCACCGGACCGTCGGAGCAGATCGCACCAACACCGGCCACGCACTGAGCTCTAAGATGCTAACCTGCAGCCTGGAGGCCCCGCTGCCTTCGATCCCACTAACAGAGACACAGCAATACAACAAAACAGGCTTTGGTTTAAACTCTTAACACCTGAAGTGTCTCAGCAGATGAGCTCTCCAGCTCACGGTGCAGCCTGTAACGGTTTCTGACCCAAGCAAGTGAATGTTTTAAAGCCTGAATGTACAGCAGCAGCACTGTCCTGTCAACGGTTCTCACTACAAAAGCACTGCACTGCATTTGGGGAAAGTTTGTCTTACATGAACCAGGAGAAGCCTAAAACAGTCGCAGTCTGCACTGAGAGCAAAAGGAAATGCTTTAAATTATTGCCCTGACATGAACTTATGCTCGTTTTTAATGATTTACACGTGACACCAGCTGAACGCTCATTTGTTCCACTTGTAACTGAAATGTCAACACTCCAGTTATTCCAGGTGTTGTTCTTCACACTGTGTTCTGTAACTGCACTAAGGCTGCAACTAATGATTACTGACCATCTAATCGATTCTGTGAACGGTACAAATAATGGAGACCTCAAATTTTAAGTCTTGTTTGGTCAAATTGATGATTCAAAACCCAAAGTATTCAGTTTAAATTCAGAGAAACGCAGCTAATCCTCACATATGAGAGGCTTAAACCAGAGAACTTTGGCATTTTTGCTTTAAAATGACTCAAACAATGCAGCTCTTATCAAGACTGACGTGGTGTGAAGGGTTCTGGTTAATCGGGCCTGACCCGTTCGGTTCAGTTTGTCTTGAAACTTGTCCAAAATCTCCGTATGAACTCGCATGCTCCTGCAACAGGGGTGTGAACAGAAGGTGTGACTGTATTTTAGTATGGCGCTGTAATGTTTTAAATAATGTACATGTCTGTAAACTATTAAGATTTCCACCTGTGATGTTGAACTGTACTCACGTAAATAACAAATAAAATATATATTTATACAGATGAAGATGTTTGTGCAAGTTCTGTTTTGTTATGTGCAACAGAGAACACTAATTTTATCCATCCACTTTCAGTGCATTTAAAGGACATGACAGAGGTAACAGTGAGATAAATCTGTGATAATTATGGAACATTTTAATGGTTGATTTGGTGCCTTTGGGATCCAGCGCTGATTTTCTAACCGAAGCGTATGAGTCAGTGAGTCCTTTAAGAGCAGACAATACTGATTTATGGATGTATCGTCTTGACGACGACGCTAGTTGAAGGAAAGTGTTGCTTAAGAGTTTCCCGAAAAGTAAAATTAACACAGTTGATGTGTCCCGCCACGTTTCCAGTAACTGACTCATAAATAGGTTAGAAATTAACCATTAAGTTCACCGTAAGTTCTCCACACTTTACCAAAGCACTGGGTCCAGCTCGTGACACGTCTGCTCAAAATGTGAGCAGAAACAGAAAGTCTGCTGCGAGCCGAGTTATCAGACACGAAGTGGGTCACGGATTGCATAAGGAGGACGCCAAATTAAAAAACGATGTGCGGATGTTTTGTTGGGAATGTGCAGGACAGACGGTGAGTCAGCAGCCGAGAGAGAGTTCTGGGAGAGAAAGTCTGTTCTGTCAATCAGGACAAACCGGGTCACTGCTTCCATCTTCATCTCGTCCCGCCGAATGAAAGGAAACTCTGCTCAGCTCCTGCTGCTGGAACAAGTCGTTCGTCTGCTGTCTGAGAGTTTCATCCCCAAACCCATGGCCGGTGTATCTTCCCTCACCATTTCACTTTTAATAGTTTTTTTTTGCGATCCAGAAACTCACAAGCACAAGATGATGGTGACAAATTGACAACAGATGCACGGTTTCTTCAACTGTCATTCAACAGTTTGTAAGAGCGAATAGTTGCTAGTTTTCCAGTTGCCTTTGTTAAACTCAAAGTCTGTGTTTTTGCTAATGTTTGCTTGATCATAAGGTGATTATAATGGACATTTTCTAATATTTTCTCCCATTTTAAAAACCAAAAATGAAAAAAAAAAAGTAATAAAATACGACATTGTAAGGAACCCTGGATTACTTTCATGATGCATTAACACCTAACCAGGAGTTTTCTGTGTATTAATTACTCGAAACAAAGAAAGTTTTCCACTTTAATTGCTTTATAACATCGACTCATTCTTCATTTAATTTGGCTTTTTTGACAAGAATTTACAAAAAAAGACGCTTTCATGTCAAAGTGAAAACAGATTTCTACAAAGTAATTTCAGTTAAATATAAAATATAATAGAAGTGACTGCTTAATTATTCACTCCTTCAAGACAGTATTTAGTCGATGCACCTTTGGCTGCAGTTCCATCATTGATCCTGTTGGTCTCCATCAGTCTGAACATCTGGATGCATGAGTGATTTGCATATTAATACCATCCAAAAAGTCTATAAAATGCTACATTACCTGACTATAATACATATTAAGGCTGAAATCCTGCAGTGTTATTAATCATGGAGAATAACCTGACTATGTGAGCATTTAGCTAAGACCTTATGGTTTTATAAATTATTAAACTTAACCTAACTAATCCTGCAGCATCATTAATTATAGAAATTAACCTGATTTATTTAGAGCTAAAGTTTTGACCCTACAAAAATGTACATGAAAACCCAAGAGAGCCCAGGATTTCCTGGATCAAGCTTTGTTTTTATGTGATTTATTTCATAATAGTGTATTAAAATGTGGAGCTGCTCACATCCCACCATCCAGTACAACAGCAGATGCCCTTTAGCCGACCTCCTGCATGAAGCCGCTCAGAGCACACAGCATAACCTCACTGCTTTTTAACGTTATCCAGCGTTACGCAACACTTTCGCTCCACTGGGCCTTCGCACATACACTACATGCATGCATACACACTCCGATTGTGTCATCATGCTGTGTTGAACTCGGTGTTTGGTGTGTCGCACTGCACAGAGGGAGGACACGCCGGGGTCACGGAGTAGAGAACACGATGTTTGAGGCTGGATGGGGTTCTTTCTCACAGTGTTTTCTTGGTTTCCTTGTGAACGGAGCTCAGGCGCGGGTGTTTATTTCTTCTCTGTTTGTTTTTACATGTGTATATGATTAAACAGCCTTAATGAGGAAATATTGTAAAGGTTCACTCATACAGAGCTCTTAAAGCCGGATTTCTTTCAGCCACTTGGAGGCAGTGCACACAGCAGAGACCAACTGCAAAACTGTATGATGAAGTTAATGTAGTGATTGTGAATAGAGTTTAGCACAGATTACACCAATGATTAATGCATTTTTACTGCAAAAAAATGCTCCTCACAGGTTCCCACATCCATTAGATATATTTTTTTAAACAGTTAAAAGTCCAAACAGTTCAATTTGGGATCATATAAAACTGACAAAAACTGAAGATTCTTATATTTAAGGAGCGGGAACAAGCACATTTGGGGAATTTTAGCTTTAAAAATGATGATCAGTATAGTTGCTGACTAATTTTCTGTAGATCACTGAAGCATTTCATGTCAAAAAACAAAACTGAATTGAAGTAATGTCTCCAGATACCTGATAAACTCCAGTATTTAGGGTTCTGTTGGGGTAAATAATCATCTTTTGAGCTGCTAAATGCTTCACTGTGTCCACATTCTAGTTGCTAACTTACTTAAACTCTCCTCAAATCAACGTATCTTAGCATCCAGTTGCCAAAAATATTACATAAGCCTCAAATTCAGGTTGTATTTATGTCAATGTATGCTTCATGAACAGTAAAACAGAGCTGCTGTTTGAGCTGCATGACAGACGAAACAGAAATTCAAGGTTGGTTGGAAAATGAATTTAAAGTGTAGAGTAGACCTGCAGCTGTGTGTTTCCTACTCCATGCATGACAAAAACACAGTTTATGATAGAAATGACTAGACATCTGTGCAATGTCACATTCAAATGAGTCCAGATGCTTATTTATATAAGTTAAACAGCAGAGTATTTGCTCTGGTGATTAATAAAAAACAAATACTAGATAATAAAGAGACTATATTGAAAATACAGACCCCCCCAAAAGCAAAACTGGGTCCACCTGTGATTTCCAAACAGCCTAATTGCATGAACATGGTATAAAATAAGCTGAGCAAAGGTTTGGATGTATCGACTGTGTCTGTCTGCATCGTGGCTCCACATGGAAAATAATAGCAAAAAAAAAATCTGATTCTGAGGCTCTAAGTGGTATTGCACACTTCTTAGTTTTAACACATTTCATCAGACTTCAGTTTACCTCCTGTGTGAACCCACTACTCTTTAAAGCTAGCTTGAGCCAAATGGGGGCTCGTCCGGGATATTCAAACCGCTTTGTTAACGTAAAGCTCATCTTTGTGTGACATGCAGCTATATGTGGCTTTTGCCTTTAGTATTGTGGCTTTTTTGGGGGCGTTCCATGCAAGGTTTTGAGTTCTGTCTAGACTGTTTGAGTGCGTGTAGGAAGAGGGCAGCACTTTCACTCCATTGCAATAAACTAGGGACTAATTAAGGTCTTAAAACCAACTGTTTTATAAGACAAAAAAGAAGTATTCTCTTTAAAACAACAACAACAACAAAAACAACATTTTCCAACTCTCTTCCATTATTGTTTGGTGTTTAGCTTTAATCAGTTTTCCTTGAATTAAATTAACTCCTTATTCTTTGAGCCAGTTTGTGACAAATAGGGGCTCGTCCGGGATATTAAAGCTAATCTTAGTGTGACACGCAGCTTATTGTGACTTTTTTTGAAAGTCCCATGCAAGGTTTTGACTTCTGTGTTTAGGTGAATGTAGGAAGACAGCAGCATTATTCCCCATTATTAATGATAAACTATGGACTGCATTAACTCTATTATAATAAAGACAACATTTTTTAAAAATAAGTTTATTCCCTTTTTTGAAAACATTGTCATCAAACACATAGAGACAAAAAATACTATTACAAAATATTCCGTCCAGAACATACAGTACACAGTGAAACTACGGTAACCTGCAGTAACCTCTTTGCAGCGACAGATGGCGTTAGTAGAATATAAAAGGACTGTGACCATGAAAGTAAAAGGGCGTTAGAGGAAACATTAGTACGAGACGACAGGGTTGAAGCTTCAGTTTCCAGAGTAAAGAGCCTCTGAAGGTGTGTGTGAGCATTAAAAAACTAAAAGAGCGCTAATAATTACAAACTCCAGGTGCGGCCCCAGACACTCACACGCCCCCTACTGGTTGATCGGCTTATTGAAATGTTCATGACTGGTTGGAAGACGCTGAGAGCCAGCTCGGGATTTGGTCGACTGGTTTAAGGTGTTGCATTGACTGGTTGCTCAGTCGGCTGAGATGGTCAAGGGTCGATCTCCTCGGGGACGATGCTGAGCATGACGTCCTCGTTGCCTCGCCTCACCACCGTTCGCAGCGTCTTTTCCCGCTTTATGGCAGCGCTGACGTCGCTGGCCGAGGTGATCCGCTCGCCATTGATGCTGATGATGACGTCGCTCTCCTTCAGGCCAGCTCTGTGGGAGAAAAAAAATAAATTAATGACAGTCTGCTAATGAGATATTACACTTTTCTGTCTCTATATATTGTCTTTGTCAGCCAGAAACCAGCTATTAGTGACGGATGTCATTCCTGAAAGAAAGCTGATGTGATTTTCCAATATCTGTGAATGACACCACAACAGTGGAAGTTTGGACCTTGTCTTCTAAAATCACAATTTAATCAACTAGTATAGATTTCTGCTTTAAATTTCTTCAAATTTTAATAAATAAATGCAGCAAAAACCTCAAAATCCTTATTCCAACAGAGCTTGTCAAGCGTGGAAAACTTTTATGAAAAACAAAGCTCTGAATTTCTGAGAATAAAGTGAAGATTTAACAAGAAAAATACGTGGATATTCCTAGAAATTAAAGTGGTAAATTTGCATGAAAAAAAACTGAAATATTCTCCGAAATCATAAAGTCAGAAATTTAAGATAGCCTGCATTTAAAATTTGACTAAATAAAAAAAAAAATTTTCCCCCAA